CATTTACGCAGTCCTGTAATTAGTCAAGTAAAGTTGCCTCATGCTGAGTTCAATTATCAAAAATGATATCACCATATTCTTGTTTAGGTCTAATATAAGCGGTATATATAGTGATTAGTGTTTTACGACTCATTTTATAATTTACAGATTTCAATAAATATATACGTTTATACGCTTTATTATAAACAAAGTTGATATGGTGATGCCACTTATAGTCTCAGGTGACCTAAAAAGCACTCCCTTAAATATCAACTCACTTCACAACAAGCAGATAGAATTAAAAAACATAAGAAAAGATAAGATGAAAAAGTATACAAAAAGATCAAAGGTCCAATGGATTGAAGATGGTGAAAAAGTGGCAAAATACTTCTGTGGTTTAGAATCCAAAAAGAGATACAAATAAAACAGTTTAGTGGATATAAAAGATAATGGAGATTATGTTGTTAAACAAAAAGAAATATTAAAGAAAATTGAACTGTGTTATATAAATCTATATAATTGTCACTCAGAAAACCTTGAGCAAATAAATTTAGACGAATACTTAAAATATTTCAATTTTACTGTGTTAGAAAATTCTCAACACATATACCTTAAAGGAAAACTTACAGAATCCAAATTGTTTAAAGCTCTAAAAAAAAAGAAGAAAAATGACAAATCACCTGGGTCTGATGGCTACGCAGCAGAATTTTCCCATTCTTTTGGCAAAACTTTTTTTTCTTTCAAATTAATAAACTTTTCAATAACTCAGAGACAGTGACTTAGCACATGCATCACTAAGGGTGAAAAGCCCAGACAATATTTAAAGAATTGGCGACCTATAACACTATAAAATGTAAAATACAAACTAGCATCTGCATGTATAGCCAACAGATTGAAAAAAGTACATGACTTAATAATATCAGAAACTCAAATAGGTTTTCTAAATGGTAGATACATTGTATATAGGTGAAAACACCAGACTATTATATGATTTAATGCATTTTACGAAGGAAAACAATATTCCTTGACTTTTGATCCTTGTTGATTTTGATAAAGCTTTTGACTCTGTTTCATGGTCTTTCATACATGAAGTACTCAGATTTTTTAAATTTTGGAGACAGCATTTTAAATTGGATCAAAACTTTTACTAGTCACACCTCATCTGCAGTAATACAAAATGGCTTTCTATTAAACTTAACCCCGATCAAAAGAGGCTGTCGTCAAGGGAACCTGGATTTATCTTATTTTTTCTTACTTGTGGCTGAAATCTTGGCTTTTCTGGTAGAAATAATAACAAGAGGCCCAGGGGCCTTAATAGCTCACCTGGTATTTTATTTTTGAATTTAAAACCTGTTGAGTACCATTCAGGTGTATCAAAGGAGTACAAGAAACAAAGTTGCAAGAAGAACTACATATAAATCTGTTTTAGTGGGAAAGACAACAAGAAAATGAGTTTCCATGTTATGTTCCAATTTTCCTCTATTTCCCCTGGGCCCAAAGATTCTCTAGAACAAGTTTGGTTAGGTTAAAATCCCTTCAACGGTACAGAAGGAGAAGGGACTTAAATGTTTTCCTCTATTTCCCCTAATGGGCCCCACTCATCTGCCCCAAAGAAGGGGGTCCACACACCTCAGTTTAAATTGATTCTTTTGTCCCTAAGCATGCTTCAGACTACATTTGCTTTAAATCCCTTCACTTGTATAGTGGGAGAAAAACAATCCTCTATTTCCCCTATTGGACCCCGCCTCTATGCTCCCAGAGGGGTCACACCCTCCGTTTATACAAACTTGAGTCTCCTTTGTCCAAAGATACTCTCGAACAAATTTGGTCAAAATCCTTTTATTGATTGAGAAGAAGAATTTTAAAAATTTACCTATTTTCCACTTATTTGGCCTCGCCCCTCTGGCCCCAGGGGGACCATACCCTCCGTTTATACAAACCTGAGAACCCTTAGGCCAATGATGCTCCAGACCCAGACCAAATTTGGTCAAAATCCCTTCATCGGTACAAAAGGAAAAGGATCTTTGATGTTTTCTTCTATTTCCCCTAATGGGCCCCACCCATCTGCCCCTAGAAGGGGGACCACACACCCCAGTTTATCCAAAATTGATTATTTTGTCCCTAATCATGCTTCAGACTGCATTTGCTTTAATTCCCTTCACTTGTATAGCAGGAGAAAAAAAATCCTCTATTTCCCCTATTGGGCCCCGCCCCTCCGCCCTCAGAGGGACCACACCCTCCGTTTATACAAATTTGAGTCTCTTTTGTCCAAAGATGATCTAGGACAAATTGGGTCCAAATTCCAATATTGGTTGAGAAGGAGAAGATTATTAAAGATTTATCTTTTTTTCCCCTATTTGGCCCCGCCCCTTTGTCCTCAGGGGGAGCATACCCTCCATTTATACAAAACTGAGAACCCTTTGGCCAATGATGCTCCAGACCAAATTTTGTCAAAATCCTCTGAGCCGCTCAGGACTAGTTGCGTTTTAAAGGAAAAAGTTGACGGACGACGGACACCGGACGACGGACGACCGACGCTGCGACATGGGATAAGCTCACTTGGCCCTTCGGGGCAGGTGAGCTAAAAACATAAATGGCATACATGTAAATAAAAAAGTACACAAACTCTCACAGTTCACCGATGACACAAGTTTCATTCTAGACGGTTATGAGAAATCATTCAATGAGACTTTGGAAACTTTAGAAAAATATGCTTTAATATCAGGTCTGAAAGTTAACACAGACAAAACCCCAGTTATATGGATAGGCTCCATAAATTCAGTGCAGATGTTCATCACTATCGATTGAAACTAAAAAGGAATGTCACAACTTTCGATTAATTGGGAATACATTTTTCTGTTGAATTAGACAAAATTACAGACCTTAACTACAAAAAACAAAACAAATGAGATAGAATTAATGTTAAAATAATGGTCTAGAAGAAATATCACTCGTATAGAAATAATGGTAGTGCTAAAATCTCTCATTATCCCCAAAATAACACATCTGTTCATTGCAATACCTTACCCGAGCAAAAACACATTCATTTTTCAAATTCATATGACAATGAAACACAGCAAAAATGAAAAGGAGGATTAAAAATTATTGACTTAGATAAATTTATTACTTGCCTTAAATTAACTTGGATTAGACAGCTTCTCACAACAAAAACAAAAGAATGAAGTAATTTATATAAAGCAGAAATAACTTACACACACAATATATCACAATTCAATGTAGACCACTTAAAACTTAATAAACCAACCAATTGATTCTGGAAAGACGTTCTTGAAGCATGGGTAACCATCACAGAAAACAATCCTTCCAAAACACTAACAAACTTTCAAGAATCAACATTATGGTATAACCCAAATATTTTGATAAATATTTCCTCTTTCTTCTATAAAGACATGCATGTCAAAGGTGTAAAATTTGTAAAATGACATACTGCAAAATGATAACACTTTTCTCTCATTTGAAGAATTCAAACAGAAATACACAATACACTCACACAACTTGCTCCAGTATAGAAGCATCTGTGAATTAATAAAACAATCTGCGCAGACTCTGAGTATAGATTTAACAAAATCAGAAAACAACCACCCCAGACCCTTCATTCCATTTCACCTACAAATAATATTAAAATCCATCAAAGGAAATAAAGACATGTACACCACGAATAAACAAAATACAAGTCAAAATACAGCAGAACAAAAATGGAATTCAGATTGTATATTTAGTGCAATATAATTAAAATTAAATTAAATTTGGGTCACAGGAGATACTAATAAAACAAAACCAATTGTCATCATCATCACAAACACGAAATACGAATGATATATAATGGAAAAAAGAAAATCTCTCAATAATAGGATTGCAGGAATACCTAACTCAAATATTTACACACGAAATGACCTTGTCACAAAAAATATGCAAATCCAAAAATTCAATAAAACTTGGAATGAGTGGAACATATATATTTACTTAAGCTCCAAAAAACATATTTGAAAACCAAAGACAAGTGATTGAACCTCAAATGGTTGGTCACCCATAAACCCTTATGAGTTACACTTATTAAATACTGTTGTCTTTTTTATATGAATGTATAGCCCTTCATACACATAAATATATACATATAAATGATATAGTGATAAAAGGGCACAATGTACACTGTTGCGATATGTCAACCCCTAAAACATTGATCTCCCTAGATTTGATGAGTTACATGTATGCATTTGTTGTGTATAGTACAAGTCTACATATATATGTGAATATATGTATATTAAAAGCTCTGTATACGAGTATACATGCGTAAAAGTGTGTATGTATAGCAGTGTTGTTTTCCTCTGTTATTATGTCAAATTGTACAAGTATAACATATGACAATGCCAAATTGTATACTTTGTAACTATGATGTATCACAATGTCAAATTGTATACTGTATAACTATAAAATACATAGCACAAAGCCAAATTGTGTACTGTATAAGTGTAATGTATCACAATTCAAAATTGTATACTGTATAAGTATAACATCTCACCATTCAAAATTGTATAATGTATTACTATAACATATAACCAGGCCAAATTATATTCCGTATACCTTTAACATATCACAATGCCAAATGATATACTGTACACGTATAACATCTCACACAGTATATAAAAGTATATACTGTATAACAATAATGTATCGCAATGTTAAATTGTATATAGTGTATACCTTTAATGACTAATGTGTGTACATCGTACGGACGTATGTGTGTGTGTATGAGTGTATGCATGTGCGTGGGTATGTATGTATATATGTGCGTACATCCGTACGTGCGTGCATGTGGAAATGTGTATGTGCGTGTGTATGTTAAATATGTATGTATGTATGTATGTATGTATGTATGAATGTATGCTATGTATGTATGATGTATATATATGTTAAGTATGTGAATGCATGCATGCATGCACGTTTTTTTGTGTTTGTGTTCGTGTACACATGTTTCTGTATTACGATGTATTTGTATTACGATGTATTTGTGTTCGTGTACACATGTTTCTGTATTACGATGTATTTGTTTTACGATATATTTGTGTTCGTGTACACATGTTTCTGTATTACGATGTATTTGTATTTTTATGTATTTGTATTACGATCTATTTGTATTACTATGAAAGTTTCATGTCATGTCGGTGGAACCACTCATCCACTTTCTTACGCGACCTCGACTTGGTTTTAGAGATCTGGAGATATTTGTTTTTTTCGTTTGTTCATTAGCAAATCTTCAAATTTTGCATACAAAAATAAATGCAGGTAATCCCAGTCAATAAGGAAACAAGTTCATGGCTGGCGTGTTTACATCTGCAATATGAAGGAGATTTTTGGAAGACTGCTGAACGTGCATGGCCTCTCGTCAAAGGATATTATTAACCAATGAAAAGTGTAATTTCATCTCAGAAGTGGTAGAATACTTTATAGATCATTATCTTCCTGCTTTTTATAAGTTAACGTAATATGTTAAACCCTACAGCGTACACAGTAATAATATATATAAAATGAAAAACGGCTAGCTACAAAAATTATACAATGATATAGCATCTCGCGGTTGTCTCTATGGCAATGAATGCTAAAAATAAGACAATGCTATTCTATGTAAATCATTACACGCGAGTTCTTGCTAACAAAATAACAAGGGATTACTATAGACTATTTCACCGTAGTTCAAAACATGTCTATATTTACAAATTGATATCTTCATTAACTTCTACCATATGAAGAAATAGGCACATCGTGACCAGTATATATATCTAACCCCGTATAAGAACAATCCGAGTCACAGTTTATTTCGTTCGTAACCAGTACAATGTATATTGGACAGGTGTCATTAGAGTCCGGAACGTTACACGTCTTGGGATTCATTTAAGACAGGTAAGGTCCTTGGCGGGTTCGGTTGAGACAGGTTTGATCTCGATGATGCTCGACAATGCTCGATGATCGTTTCTGGTGACAATCAGTAAAGCATGTTTCTTCAACCAAGTCTAATGGTGTTGATATGCCGCTCTACGTATTTCTATCCCGCCTTGTCGTGTTTCTATAACGAATAACGGTGTGTCAACCCTGCCTTGTGTGCTTTTATCCCGCAATATGGTGTATGTATATAGCCCTCTGGTGTTTCTATCCGGTCTAGCGGCGTTTCACTCCGCCTTATAGTGTGTCTATCCCGCCCTTTCTTACATAGTTTTATCCTATCCTATGGATTTTCTCACACTTATTGGTGTTTTAGTGCCGCCTGATGATAGTTTTGTCTATCCCGCATGATGGTGATTCTATCTAGCATAATTGTATTTCAATGTGATTGAACCTCGCTTATTGGTTCTTTTTGTCCCGACATTTCAGAATTTGTTTTAAACAGTTTTTGTAGTTTTTATAACAACGGTTACATATAACAACCTCCAATAGCGGTGTACACGAATAGCAACTTCAGGCTTGATAAGGACATATATGCTTTGTCCGGCTTGCGTTTCTATGGTCACTGATGCTGTATCATTATATCTTCCCGTATATTCATTTTTGGCTTTAGATAACTAGTTCAGTAAGTAGAGTCGGCTTGACCACTATATCTGTTAGGTATCGCACACCATTATCTGTTATAACTCTAGAATGATAGATGTATCATACATTTCCATAGTCACTGATGGTTTCACAATGCGCAGCCACGGCTCGATAACACAGTTCGTAGTCATGCTGAAAAAAAATAGAAATAACATTCTATCATAATTATGCTAAGTATTTCAGCAACATAATTTCTTACATTTCACATTGAAAAACAAATATGCATAACTCATTACGAATCAAAATGGAATAAAATTCGAATACAATCCTATCCAAAGGTGTAAATTTGTAACGTTATGAAGAGTTTTATATCCGTCGTTCCCCTGACATTTTCTACAAATTGTAATAAATTCTTTAGAATGGATTTCCAAACTTTTGAACATGAGTAATACTGATGGGTGTCAGGTGGATAAAATGGCTATACGGTGCAGTTAAAATGTGAACCTTTTTTTCTTTCTTTCTGCCTCGACTAACTACTAATGTTTAAGTATGTGCTCCATTACATCGTATTTCTAGTGATTAATCTACGTCACAATGTGGTTGACTCTGCTGGTTGACTGTCAGTCTCGAAGATTAACCGTAACTTACTTTACTACTTGAATTTATTCTATCTGTCAGCTTTAAAGTTACATTGTATGTAGTTGATTTGGAGTTGAATGTATGGCTTCTCTTCCGAATAAAATATTCTAGTTGTTTCCGTCGATTGATGCTTTTTTCAGCCATACATCATATATTGTTTGATGTTACATCCTACATTCTAATACGGGTACACATAATGAACGATCGGAATATCCCATGAAGCTTAACTATGACGCCTCAAAATATGCATATTCACTGACTTATATAGATAGGCCGCCACCTGGTCTTTCCGTCATCTGGGAACTGAGAGAGACGGGATCTCGGAGACTCTTGAATCACATAACAGTAAAGTATGAAACTATGAAAAATCATTTCTATGTTATGTTTTTGAATATTTGTTTGATTAAATAGCTTATCAGGACAGGTAAATATGTAACACCATTTGCTTATTTCTTCAATTTCACTTAAGATATCAATACTGAGCAATTTATTGATCACGTTGATATTATCACCCTCTTGCCACAAGGATATCAATGATATCTGCATCAGCCGCATTCCCTCCATGCCTAATCCTAACACCCTTACACTTAAAAACTACCTAGAACGGTTTACTTCCAAGCTGTATGATAAACGTAACGTTTTCGATTTCCAATGGTTAGCTTTCCCTTTCTGATAGCAACATCACTGCATTTTTAACCAACGATGTCGCAACGGAAAATGTATTTAAAAACTTGGTCGGAACATCATGAACTCCATGAAAGTAACACCTGCTGACATTGATGCCATTACTCTTTCATCATGTCCCTATAACAGATATGGCTTTCAGACTTAAATATATACGCTATATTTGAATTTAGATGTATGTCATGTTAATGTACCATACATTTTGTATTGCTTATCTGTGTCATCTAAGAGAGTAATATGCGCAATTCAGACTCCATACACTACTATAAATCTGCCAATTAACTTACAAGTGTGCGAATGAAGGATGGTCTCCGATACTGTAGTTGTCGAATCGTCAGGAAAACGTTAGCAGTGCGGTTCATGTTCAAACACTCGGCTGCATTTGAAACGGCACAAAACACACCGCATCTGTCAGAGCCGTTTCTGAGAAAATTAAAAACAAAGCGAAACTTTTTAGAGCCGAAGCAGCAACATAGAATAATGTTAATCGATGGAGTATTTGAATAGGGTTTAATCCTGGCATTTTTTTTTATTATCTATCAAAATATCTTTGTTGTGGTAATAGCATTACTTGATACAAAACGTTGGTAAGTCTGAGATAAACATTCCTTCAAATTTTAAGCATGGCAATATGACATCACATTATCATAAAGCCCTGTCCTTTCAAAACATTACATGGTACAGAGTAACTCAAAGCAATCGATAATCCTCCCAGTTAGATGTTTCTGCAAATAGTTTCCCCTTAAACCTTTACTGCGCTGTTAAAAATGGGGGCGTTCGTTGTGATATTTCTGTGTTCGTTCGATAAACCTGTTATCACTACACTGCTCAAAGCTAAACAGTTCTAGCTATACTAGTATTTGACAGTTTCACAATATTAACAAGCTCTGAACTTGACTGACATATTGTGCTATCTGTGTAAGACACTTGCAATCCATGTTAAATTCTAGATTACTTGTGACAGGCCCGGCTGATTTGTGATTGATGAACTACCACAGACAACTGTGACCGACCCTGCTGATTTGTGATAGATGAACTACCACAGACAACTATGACCGGCCCTGCTGATTAGTGATTGAAGAACTACCACAGACAACTGTGCCCGGCCCTGCTGATTAGTGATTGATGAACTACCACAAACACCTGTGACCGACCCTATTGATTAGTGATTGATGAACTACCACAGACAACTGTGACCGGCCCGGCTGATTTGTGATTGATGAACTACCACAGACAACTGTGACTAGCCCGGCTGATTTGTGATTGAGGAACTACCACAGACAACTGTGATCGGCCCGGCTGATTTGTGTTTGATGAACTACCACAGACAACTGTGACTAGCCCGGCTGATTTGTGATTGAGGAACTACCACATACAACTGTGACCGGCCCTGCTGATTTGTGATTGATGAACTACCACAGACATCTGTGACTAGCCCGGCTGATTTGTGATTGAGGAACTTCCACAGACAACTGTGATCGGCCCGGCTGATCTGTGTTTGATGAACTACCACAGACAACTGTGGCCGGCCCTGCTGATTTGTGATTGATGAACTACCACATACAACTGAGACCGGCACGGCTGATTAATGATTGATGAACTAACACAGACAACTGTGACCGGCCCGGCCGATTTGTGATTGGTGAATTGCCACAGACAACCGTGACAGGCACGGCTGATTAATGATTGATGAACTAACACAGACAACTGTGACCGGCCCGGCCGATTTGTGATTGGTGAATTGCCACAGACAACCGTGACAGGCACGGCTGATTAATGATTGATGAACTACCACAGACAACTGGGACCGGCCTTGCTGATTTGTGATTGATGTACTACCACATACAACTGTGACCGGCACGGATGATTAATGATTGATGAACTACCACAGACAACTGCGACCAGCCCGGCTGATTTGTGATTGATGAACTTACACAGACGACTGTGACCGGCCCGGCCGATTTGTGATTTATGAATTGCCACAGACAACCGTGACAGGCCCGGCTGATTTGTGATTGATGAACTTACACAGACGACTGTGACCGGCCCGGCCGATTTGTGATTGATGAATTGCCACAGACAGCCGTGACAGGCCCGTCTGATTTGTGATTGATGGACTAACACAGACAATTGTGACCGACCCTGCTGATTAGTGATTGATGAACTACCACAGACGACTGTGACCGGCCTTGCTGATTTGTGATTGATGAACTACCACATACAACTGAGACCGGCACGGCTGATTAATGATTGATGAACTACCACAGACAACTGTGACCGGCCCTGCTGATTAGTGATTGATGAACTACCACAGACAACTGTGACCGGCCTTGCTGATTTGTGATTGATGAACTACCACATACAACTGTGACCGGCACGGCTGATTAATGATTGATGAACTACCACAGACAACTGTGACCAGCCCGGCTGATTTGTGATTGATGAACTACCACAGACAACTGTGACCGGCCTTACTGATTTGTGATTGATGAACTACCACAGACAACTGTGACCAGCCCGGCTGATTAGTGGTTGATGAACTACCACAGACAACTTTGACCGGCCCTGCTTATTTGTGACAGAGAAACCTGCCTGCAGACAACTGTGACTAGCCCGGCTGATTTTTTCAGGCGGAAAAACATACCTATAGACCAATGTGACTGGTCTAGCTGACTTGAGAAAAGAACACTTATCTATAGACCATTGTTACAGGCCTGGTGGATTTGAGTCAGAAAACTAATCTACGGACAACTATTTCTTGCCCGGCTGATTTGAAACAGGAAAACTTACCTGCAGACAACTGTGACCGGTCCGGCGGATGTATGACAGGCAAATACTTACCTGCAGACAACTGTGACCGGCCCGGGGGATGTGTGACCGTACTGAGATGACTGGACAGCATAATTGGCTTTAATTATGGGAGAAACAGACTGGTCCTCCTCGTTGGGCCACCTCGTCACCTCAAACGAGCTTGTCAAGAAGCTATCAGGATGTCCCTACATAAAAATAAAAATTACAGATTCACAAATGTACGTCACCAGTTTTATTTTACCGTTTTGGGGATTTTATATCGACCACAGTATTGGTCGACATGGAAAGCAAACCGTCCTCCTTTGTTACAACGTTGTGATATGGTTTCAATCCTTGAAAATATTTTAATTTTTAATTTTTCATTCTGTATAGTCTCCTTTTTGCATTTTCGTTCATTTGTCAATGTTTTTTTGGACAAAGTAAGTATTTATGTATTATACCTTCCTGGTAAACCCTGAACTAACCCTGCGCCCTATCCTAGTTGAAACCACGTATTTCCCTGCGCAAAATCTTTCTTGCTTAACCAACTATACATATCACTGACTAAATATTTCTTGTTGAATAGCACATATTTCTGAATCGTATAAAAGTTCAATCAGCATATATAGCTTGCCTGATATCCCCCTACCCTGTATGTCGAGAAAAGAGTATACCTGCTGTTACCCACTGCATGTTGTAGGAAGCAACTAATGTGGGAGCCCTGTGTACATGGAGGGACGTAGTCCTTAAATGACCTTGCGTCACTTGTGTAAAACATCTCAAAGTTAAGGTAGCAGAATACAGTAGAAATGGCCCGCCTCTGATAAACAAGGGACATGTCGAGGAAATGTAAACACAGCGGATTTACCCTACACAACACATGTATACATGTACATATATTTGTAAACTGAATTACATTTACAATACGTATAAAGTACTGAGAAGTGTATAAACCTCTTTTTTCTATGTATTTCACTTGTGTGAAAACCATGGTTACCACATCAAAAATTACCAAAAAATGCCAAAAATTGCTATTTTTGACCCAATATTTGACCCCCGCAACTAGTATTTTTTTTCCTAAGCTCTGTCTGAAATTAAAGATTACCTACCTGGTTGCAGAATTATCTGGGTCCCAGTAAAGTTGTAAAACTTGATTTTTTTGCAATTTTGCGTCGTGTGCTGTTGTCAAAATGTTACCTCCTGTAAAGCTAGCTTTTCATGTGTACGCACCCTTTCGGATTATGGCCAAAATTTTATTCTCGAACCAAAAAAATCTTCTTTTTTCTTTATAAATGTGAAGCTCACATAGCTCACTTCATCATGCTTATACCAGTTTTAGTACAGTTTTATTTTTATATTTTTTTTCCATATCATTATACAGGGGTTTGCCATTTAACAAAAATATCACCCATGGCCACAACCCTCTACTGTATACTGCTACCTAAGGAAAATCTCAAGCAATGTATTGTCTATGGAAAATCTAAACCCAATAAAACCTAACCAAATATATATCCATTGCCATATCTTTTTAGATAAACGATACGTATACAGTATTTATGATTGAACAACACATCTCTGTACCAGCTCCTAGTTAAACTCACATATTTTTCTGGGCAAATATTTCCTGGTAGGCTCCATATATTCCTGCGCCCTATTATTGTTAAACCATGCATATCCCTGTGCCCTAACATTGAATCAACAGATATATCTTTGACCAAACCTTCCTGACTACAGCAATATTCTGCACTCGGACGTGTTCGTAGTTGTCTGAAGCCTCGGTCATCGGGACGTGCTGAACAGAAAACGACCGTGTTGCCACAAGAGGACGCGACTGAGATGGAAGTGTCTTAATAAAACAAACAAAAAACGGAAATATTTTCAACATTAGTCATCATAATACAATAGTTTTGACGTCACAAAGTACACAAGATTGGTGAACAAACTAGTGCAAAATTTTACTTTGGCCTGTTGAGACTTGGTTATAATATTTTGATCAATTGGTTTTCTTTCTTTTCTCTTAGAATAGTGTCGGATAAAAATAATTGATAGAAAGGTAATACATTTAATTTAGAGCATGTCAATATACGTTTCAAGTTCTTAGGTTTGCGTCTACTATGTAAAATAGCATGCTTATGACAAATGTTTCTCATACGCCTGCTACTTTGCTTTAACTCTCACATTTAGTCTTTATCACAGGAAACATATTGAAAGTAGAAACAAAGGGAACTAACTTTATATCAGTAGTATAACATTGAGCTTTAGAATATTGCTTAAGTTGACCAAGTCTAGCAATTGGAACTTGTTGCTCACTGACGATAGTGACAATACGTGAGGTAAGATTAAAAGGCATATGAACTTAAGTGTGCTTACTGTGGTTAGAGTAAATATTTAGAAAATTATGAACATCTGTAGCCTTACAATACAGATCCGTTGTAAAATTATTTGAACCAAGTTGAACTAAACCATCTAAGTAAGGTAAAGACGTCTCTCACACTCCATCGTTTAACATATCGAAGGATGTAAAAAATTCAAAAGGTTTTGAAAATCATTTAAATCCTTATCAGGAGGCCATATAACAAAACAATCTATATATTTTAGGTTTCGTTTTTCACCAGGATATCGAGCTATGCCAAGGATTTGTTGTACACGAGTTTTTATGGTCTACCCACATGAAGCCCTAAATCACCACAGCCCAAAATTCATCTAGCGTGTCGTCATTTGGAGTTTGGGTAGCGAGGAATGCTATTTCTGTCATACATGACTGGACATTCACACACACACACACATATATACATATATATCGTTTGGATAACTTGGAGTAAAGGATTAATTCGACTAATTATTTAACTTGTTGCATGGGAGTTGGGCTGTAACGCACCTCTCTATGTGACATATTGAGAATTGAGCTGTATAGTGACTGTATGATTAACATTATAGAGAGTTGAGTTTCATGTAAAATAAATCACAATATCATCACACAAAAAAGAGCGTAACACAAAAACAAACCTTGAAATTAAAAGATATATTTTAACAGTTTGATAATCTTGTTGATAGCTTGCTGGGGGTCTTCATGTGGGTGAACTATGAAAAGTCGTCTATACCAAATCCTTGGCATAGCTCGAAAACCTGATGATTCACGAAATCTAAGTATATAGAGATAAACGTTACTCAGAAACAACATCTTTGCCTTGAAATTTACCTTAGAGTCGGGATCCAGAATCAAGATTGCAGTGGACTGATAATCAAACACCATAGCCCAAAATTCATCTAGCGTATCGTCATTTGGCATTTGGGTAACGAGGAATGCTATTTCTGTCTTACATGACTGGAACAACAAAACTATTATATATAATCGAAAGCAACGTATTGATTGTTTAAGGAAGACGTATAACCACAGATAATTGTGTTATGAATTTAATACACGCTGTTATCGACACACCTAGCCAGGCCCGGATGCCTACAATTAAAATATTAAGACCGGTTTTACATGAACATTCTCCCAGAACAAAGATATTGCCCTTTTATAACAATAATTTGAAAACTTCAATGCGATTATATGTATTATAATGAAATTTCACTTGTATTATTTCATACTGTCTCGTCTGTTTTACCAGAATGATTTACTCTGGACTCTGCAATAAAACCTGTATATCTTTTACTGTCGCTACTATTTTACCAATATTTTATCAGCTGATCTCAGCAAGAAAACATGGCAGAAAACAATCTAATTAATAACCTTTCTAATTTTTACTTACGTTATTGGTGAAGGATGTAATAAAACAGTAATATGGAGTGACATGAACCTGAAAATGTGGTTATTTTTATTCGGTGCAATATAACCCTTTACAGAAAATTAATGTATCGAGTTGGTATGGGAAAAAAATAAAATATGCAGAAACTAGTTGATGTAAGGAAATATTAGATAATATTGTATCCTGTAATAAGTAACTGTCATTTATATCGATATTTTCTGGGCATCATTTAAGACTAGTCTTACCGGTATTATAACAGCATTGATGTAGTTGGTCCTATCAGGTGACTGGGACATCAGGTAGGGTCTATATCTGTTGGCTAGATATCCACAAACTTGTTACTCATCACTTTATCCATTCTAAATTATATATATCTCGGAAATTATACATTGACTGATCATCAATATAAACAACTATGTTTGCGTGTTCACGTGTTACCGTTGTTAACTTAGTTAGACGGTTATGTATGTTCAAGTATTACCGTAGTTAATTTGGGTGAAACAGTTGGAATGTGTGTTGCGGTGATACAATATTTACAGGTATGTGTGCTCTACTTTTGCTGTAATTACTGAAATGTACTTTTGCGTTCCAGGTTTACTGTAATTTGTACTAAAGTCTTATTAAATGTTATAAGTTGTTTTCTATATTTTATTACCATGGAGAATTTTCACTGCATTTACATTCTAGTGTTGTTTTGCTCCTTCTAAGTTAAGTTCATTTGTTTGGAAGAGAGATAGCTTGAATCTGTAAATAATTATTCCATACGCCGCAAAGAATAAATTCATCTTTCGTGTCTCGTGTTTCAAATAAAATAATCAAAAATCATGGTGTTTTTTTTTTTTACTTTGAAACAGTTTGAAAAAGATATAATACCTAAATCCGTTGAAATGGTTTATTGTTAAATTCACTTATTGGTTGAATTGATCTGGCGAGAAGTAAAAACAAGATGTCATATTACCTGGAATAATTTCGAGGTCTTTGTTCTTTGATATGTTTTCTTCGGACATTGCATCTGAGCTTTCCTTTAATGTAATGTTTGGTCGATACTTAGAGAGAGTCTGAAAAGAAAATTTAATGTAGAGTTTGGTCGATATTGAGAGTGTCTGAAACGAAAACTTAATGTAGTATTTGGTCAATACTCAGAAAGTGTCTTGAATAACAAGAGTCCCGGAGGCCTAATAATAATGTTCGCATTAAAACTAATATTGCGTGAATTGGACCAAGGAGAACAACACTCTTCCTTTACAGTAAGTTAAATTATCTGGCTCAAATGATGCTTTATATTAAATTTCGTTTACATATGATCAAATGTAAAGGAGGAGTATCCTTTGAAATTGAATCTCGTTTAACGTCGAGTCAGAGGAAGTACCATTCTTCCTTTATAGATACGATCCTCTATAAGTATAAACAGTTAAGGATATGGAATGTCAATCACTTCAACGTATAGACCATGTAATTAAACTTCCAGTGTCGGAGGCAGACCCTGAACTAATTTTGGAAATATAATTTTGTTCGTCTGTTCGTGTCAAGAAAGCACATTTATGTATACACGATAGGTATTTCTACCCTTTTTCAAGCTATGACCGAAATAATCAATACCGACAAGACCTTGTTGGCAAGCATGATTGCAAAGTTTAATGAATCTTTTCGATCTCGACCGCATTCATGGTATGACCCAGTTATGACCCAGGAGATAAATCTCGAGGGACGGAGCAAGACCTTGTGTCCAATTCAGTTAGCAAATGAGTATTCGTCCGTTCATCGTCAACATATATCGTGGGTTAAGTGCGAAAAGGGCATATCTATATACGAATGGAGACGTCCCTACTCGATCCTAACCTCGTTATATATTTATAAGTCCGGGTAGCAACTGTTTGATTGTACTTAACCCCATCGTCACTCAAGGTAAAATGGTCAAATGTCGCGGTTAACGAGTATATTTCACAACTTTTGAAGTGATAAGTTTTTATTCATGATATCTGACGAACCTCTTAACTCTTCAATTTCATATCTACGTCATACTATGGTTATATCAAGTTCGATACCCAACTAAAGTTTGGTGGTTATTGGTCAAGGTTCAAAGGTCAAGGGTACTATATATATATTCCAGCCTCCGCTCACTTGTTTTTATTGCAATACTTTTTCGGTAATGTTTTAACGTATTCAACGTGAATTAATTGACTTTCCTCCATTACTTAACTCTGGATGAGTGGACTTTGCAACAACTTTTACTTCATCATTTTAAATTTTGTAAAACCTCATCGTTAATGTTTTGACTCTTATAATGGAAGTTTTGTTTTTATTGTGTTAACAACATAAAATTTAATATTTTAACATTTTTGCAGTGAACTTACACTATATTTACACTGTATTTCATCGACTGGATAGATGTTTTAACTTGTTCCATGTTAAAAGCGGATGCTTCGATTTATTATAAAAATTTACCATAAATTCATCCTGAAGTCCTGACATGTTCTCAGAGTCGTCCTGAAATTCTTCTATTGTCAGTGTAAAATCGTCACAGATAAAGTGATCCAATAACACCTCGTGGACAGCAACGTACTGCTCCTAAAATACGAAAAATATTAGCTTCTGTATACTTATGAACTGCTCCTAAACTACGAAAAATATTAGCTTCTGTATACTTATGAGCTGCACCTAAAATACGAATAATATTAGTGTCTGCATACTTGACAACTGTTTCTAAAATACGTAACATATTATTACCTGCATACCTATCATACGTAAAATATTAGCTTCTGCATAAATATATACTGTTCCTAAAATACGTAAAATACTAACGTTACACTGTTCCTAAAATACGTAAAATACTAACGTTACACTGTTCCTAAAATACGCAAAATACTAGCGTTAAACTGTTCCTAAGTACGTAAAATACTAACGTTACACTGTTCCTAAAATACATAAAATACTAACGTATACACTGTTCCTAAAATGCGTAGAATACTAGCGTTACACTGTTCCTAAAATAAGTAGAATACTAACGTTACACTCTTCCTAAAATACGTAAAATACTAACGTATACGCTGTTCCTAAAATACGTAAAATACTAACGTATAAAATGTTCCTAAAATACGTAAAATACTGACGTATACACTGTTCCTAAAATGCGTAGAATACTAACGTTACACTTTTCCTAAAATAAGTAGAATACTAACGTTACACTCTTCCTAAAATACGTAAAATACTAACGTATAAAATGTTCCTAAAATATGTAAAATACTGACGTATACACTGTTCCTAAAATACGTCAAACATAAGGTTCTGCATATCTTTGTTCTGTTCCTAAAATAAGAATAAAAGTAGCTTATGCTTTTCTATGTACTGTTCCTTAAATATGCGATTTATCATATTATACAAAATGTTCAAGGAACTGATATTTTTTTCGGTGAGTTTGTTTATGACATCATATTGTTAATAATTTGTTTTATCTTACAGTTCCAAAAACAAAGAAATCATTTTACGTGTTATTTATTAAATATATTACATTTCTTACTTGCTTAGAGAGGACAAAGCCGAACACATAAACTTGGTTGCAGCCCGTTGCTATTGTAGGTGAAATATATCAAATGACATGCTGCATCGGAATTTGGAACAATAACAAGAAAAGAAACTAATATTAAAGTAATTATATAATTATTTAAACAATCGCCACGTCCGTCTTTTTTTGTTTTATATTAAATTCTATGTGTATATTATCTATGCATCAGTCATGAAATTATTTAGAGAAAACTTTGTAAATGGTTATATAAATAAATTGTCATTTACAGGTAGCATAGTAATTTGATTATTATTTCATTTCATCAAATTTTATTGACAAGATTTCATAGTCAATTGGATAGAATAAAAGGCAAAGCCTATATAAATGATAACCGTCAAATGGTCAAAGTGGAATAAACAATGAAACATAATATTTTAGACATGTTGGATATGAAAACATTTAACACAAAATAATTCATATCAACACAAGGCTAAGGGGAAGTAACTCATGAAGGAAACATCTCACACACCTCATATACACTTACACACAAATACAAGTACATGTACAAATTCATTAATTTCAGCATATATATACACTATCATAGACAGATATTGGCAGACTTAAACCAAATTTGATTATTATCAATATAAAATGGTCACATTTAAATAACATCAATTACCTTCGTTTGAATCATGTTCATTCGATTCTGTCTCATCAGTTTGGCGTAATCTAAAGGATCCACATTGCCTTGCAGTGTGCCGTAGTGAACCAGCGCATCGATAGCTATAAACGTCCCGGTCCGGCCGATTCCCGCACTGGACAGACAGAAAAATATGCGAATACACAAACTGAGTGACAGTCATTTTTCAATGATTTAATAAAATCCTAAAAGACGCCTAGAAACCACATACAGACTATCAATGTACAGTAGATAAATGTACAGTACGTACTATTAAAGTTAAATCTACATGGAAATTAATCATATATAATATACTTTATATTTATGTAGGAATATTTCATCATTGTATTTAAATGTAAGTAACTTATATAAACTTTAAAAAAATCATTGTACATGAAATGTTCCGATGAAAGAACAATTAACAATATCTACATTCATTATAATGACAATAACAAATAAGGATTTAGTCACGAAAAACTTTACTGAAAATAAATTATGATAGAAACACAATATATAAAGCGCATTGTTAGCGGTCAAGGAATATATGGGGTCTTATGCAAAAATTGTAACGATCTTGTTTTGGCTGATGAAGTTAGCAATCTTGATCATTATCTTTATACTATTTCACCACCCATCCTCATAATGATAAGTCCATTATCACGTGATAAACCGGAAGCACTGTCTATTTAAAGTCAACCGCATAAAAAATTAACCGTCATAAACAATTAATTATAAAATCTAAAAAACAAAATGCCAGAAAGAAAAGCATCAATGTTAGCGTAAAGATGCACATGGATCAGCTGATGGCAATACAATTCTTTAAACAATTTCAAAGATTTTACTGTTGACGGTATTCGTTCGCCCAAATTGTTTTTACAATGGATTAAAAAATCACTATAATTCAGTTGGAAGATATGTTAGTCAGTGGTTGAGTGAAATGTATAACGATGTAGAAACGTATTGTTTATATTTATGAAAGCACTACACTTGTACAGTGATATGTATTTAGCATGTGTAAGGTCTTGAGCATTAGATAAATCGTTGAAATATTCCTAAATAGAAAGTAGCAGACATACTTGGTTTTTGTTCAAGCAGGTTACACAAGTTTTGAACTACATATGTACAGAAAGTAATAAGCATATAGATTTCTGTACATGAATAGTTTGAATTTGGACTGGAGGCAGAGTCGGTGCCTTATAGGATTTATTTGTACACAAGAAGTCCAAACGGAGCGAACTCGGAGTGCACCTTGTGTAACTTATAGTCTACACACAACTTTATATAGTTGCTATCATCAATTATCTTATCGCTGTGCTTCATCTTGTCAACATTAATTAATATTATTATTATTATGTTTTGTCTTATCAAAATCATAACGGCCCTATCAATAATGTTATCAATATTTGTCGTCTTATCAATAGTCTCGATAATATGTGTTGTCTTGTGAACAATTTTATCGCTATGCTTTGTTTTATCTATGCAGTAAAGCCTTCTTATTCTGCCACCATTGGGCCAAGAGAAGTTTTGGTGTTATGCAGCGGTTTAGCGAAAAATTGAGGGAAACGATGGAGGAATTCCAAAGAAAACGGGATATGCAATTATGTTGGGGTTAAGCGTGGGGACAAATTGTACAAGGGACATTATATTGATGCTTTACTATGTTATATTGTCAACAATGTTATTTCAAGCTTGGCCATGTAAACATGGTAGTTTCGGTTAGATTTGTTTTGTTATATTTTTTAGATTTTGTCCTTTCTCAATCATATTGGTATTTACTGTAGACAAATATTTTGGATTATGTTGTTCCAATATCAATACAGATTTCTTTTTGTATCTGGCTAGTATTACCTGCAATGTACAACCATTGGACCGTGATGTTTGGTTTTAGTTGACTGCACATGTCTGTAGAAGTTCACAAGGTGTATAATGTCCGGTGTACCATGATCCGGCCATTTTGTAAAGTGAAACTGCATAATCTCCATTGGTGTCTGGCACTTAAAAGTATAAACAAATTCGTGATTTTAGAATATCTGCTGCGTTTTATTATACCTCCTTGGAGATAATGTTACAAAACAAACACTGGATCTACATAACAAATAAACATACTGGATCTACATGTATTAATAGAATCCATCCCTGATGTGAGGTATGGATAAGGTCATTCAAACCCAAGGGATAAAATATTGAGCAGGAGACCCGAGGCTTTGCCGAGGGTCTTCTGCTCAATATTTTGTCCCGAGCTTTCTGGCTTATTACCTTAAACCCATAAAACTGTTGCTTTCTTAGTAAAGTTGTAAACTGTCCACACATTTCTTAATTGCATATGAAGACCGCAGGCAATAATTAATGACGTCAAGGACCCTGACTGACCCGAAAACGTCATAAAATGACGTCACGAACAATAGCGTGACCCCGAAAAGACTCGTGGGTCAGATAGAATTTTACAGCACCGCTGGAAATGCGGATATCTCGGTCTAGTATGCAAGAAATATTGGGGAATACATACTGGATATACCTACGGGATACATTCGTATGATGTTCCCCGGCCCCTGTAAACAGGTCAATACTAAATATTGTTGGATGTAACAAGTTCAGAATCGGTAATAAACAACCTATCACCTGAAATCGTCCTATGACGTCAATCATCACGTGACCCTGTACTGTCCTCATAAAATGCACTTTCACTAAACTGATATACTGGGGCGGTTACCTTGTCTCTCAGTCATCTGGATAGCGAGAGAGGCAGAGTTTCGGTGGTCACATGCATTACTGAATCATATCAGCCGAAAAGGATAAAATAATGCAAAATTGTAACCAAAAACCAGTTGTCATAATTCTAGCATAACTAACATATATCTAATTAGATAACAGTATTCATCGATATTAATATGATATATATACTTTCAACGGTTCTCCATCCGAAATGAACAAATACATTATCAATCAGGTCTTGCAGATTTCCCCGTAAATTTACAACTGAATATGTTAAGTTATAGTTCGTGTCTTCGTCTAAAATTAATCATATTTTTTTTAAAGTTTCCATCATTTTTATCAAACAAATATACAAAAAAATCTTAAACTTTCCGTCAAAAATGATAAACACTTTTACGTTGCTGAAATACAAAGATAGAACTCTATCCGGAAATTCTGTTCTTATAAAGAAACTCCCCAGCTTTATAAAATCTATATAAAGTGAATCATTCATCACTAATATCTTATTACGTATTCCATAAATATATCGCCAAACTTGAAAAAAATGCCGAATTTCTGTCCTGAAAAGACCTTTGTAGGAAAGATAATTTTAATTTGTGGAACCCAAATGCCAAGACAGGAGTCGGTATTTCTTGTTGTTTAATTTCTATATCAAACCATTAAAGAAAATTAAGATATTAATATCGTTTTCAAGGAAAAGAATCATTGTGAAACGATTATAGATTAAAATGAGTTAGAGATTAAGTATATATCGATGAGACCTCAAGGTAAAAAAACACTTAATAAACATTAAAAAATCTCTGTTAGGAAAATATTTTGTTGAGAAGTGAGTTGATTCTTATTAATACTTTCGTGTCCTGTAACCATATTATCAAATAATAAAGCTTACATTTTATCTATACTGACTGAAAGTAAAGCTAAAGGCTAGTTAATAATTTGAGTTTAAATAATTGTTGACATATCTGCCATATTTAATTATATCTGGGGTATTAAACACTAATAAGAAAACTATAACAGGAGTAACCTGTAAACCATATCTTACCGTGTTCCCATACAGCGACAACGTTCTGACGGTGAAGGCGGCAAATATTTGTTCATTGGTTGTCACCACTCGGTAATCTCCAAAGTCGCGCGAGTGTCCCTTATCCGGCCAATACTGCTCTACCTTAGGCTGTCAGGGCAAGACCACTTTGAGTTAGTTGTATACATGGTATTATACATAGTATTATACATAGTATTATACATGGTATTATACATGGTATTATACATAGTATTATACATGGGATTATGCATAGTATCCCAGCCATCTAAATCCTCTACGTTTAACAACATATCATCAAATCAATGCCTTCACTTACATACCAATAAACTTGGGGATATTCGAAACTCTATCTGCTGGTATAGAATTGACGGAGCTAGAACCAAGGCTTGCCGAGATTCTTGCCCCAATCTCAAAGGAACGGTAGAATTTCCATAGCCACTCTAACTGCATGGTTATTGTATTGTTTCTCGATTACAGCATGTCTTAAATATTGGAAAAAATAACAGAATGACATTGCAAAGGATGCAAACATATTGTGAATGTTCTAGATATAGTGCATTTAAACCAAGAACTATCGACAAATCGGATAAATGATATACCGAGGGTATCTTAAAACATTAATATTTTGTAATAGTGTCATTATTAATGCTGTTTTTAAAGCAATATCAGTATTTGTGTTATCAAGAATTTTAGAATTGTTCTCATAATTTGGTTATTGCATAGTTCTTCATCAAACCAAATGTTAACAAAATAATCAAAAACCAATATAAATGAATATGGTTTTAACCATGAACACCACGTGCGTTGTTATAGCACTGGGAAGCAGTTTGTAGGCATTGGGAGGATTGTGGGTATAAGTTTGAGCGTGTGTATCATATGGACGTGTGTTACTGTATAACGTAAAACGTGTAAAAACTGTGTGACACGAATAAGTGTGACACAACATTCTGAGACGTGAATGTTTGTGTCATAAATATGGGTGACATTAATTGATAACATATAGAAAACAAGTACCCCTCTTCAAATTAATTCAAGCCGGCTCTTTTTAAAGCAATTTAGCAAGAAAGTACTTTTGCCTTTAATATATATTACCTTGCCCATCTCGATACAGTTGGCCAGCATGATGATTTTGTCCGATTTATTCTGCCACAACATTGCCCAAAAGTCTCCTAAGGTATTCTTTTTTGGGCCTGCGATTTCAAATTCACAAATCAGTTCTATTGTGTTTGTCGAATATAAACATTACTTAATATGTTTCATAAGTGTCATTTATGATAACAATTAATATTTACAAAATATTGGTGCACTGTGTTAGATAACTTATTTTGCTCATCTATTACTGTTACACAGGTCAAAAACGAGAACAATTGTTTATAAACCATACGTTGTCACAGCTTCAAATAAAATAACTCACCAAGAAGGATAAATCTGTTGTTTTGATAGACGAGTACAAGACAACATGCGAGTAAGAAAAATACTGATTTTATAATTTACATATTTCGACGATAACAGTTGAGTTCTCTTTTTTGTTTTGTTTTTGTTTTTAAAACTGAAAAATATTGGTTTTGGAATACCTCTTAATGAAACAGAAAGCATCATTCGGTTTGTTCGGCAAAACTATCGTGCACATACTATTCAAATGATTATGACAACGATTATGTCCCTTCGACTTATGTTCGAATAAAAGGAAGGCACAAAAAACACGTTGACAAATATTTATATAAAAAGCAAATGTAATGACAAGAAAAGGTTGACAACCCAATATATCCTGGTTGTTGTTGTGTTCATACAATGTTAAGCAATTATATGATATTTTTTGATTGATTAAAATAGAATATGAAAACATAATTGAACACCCTAAAATATGAAATATATCATATTGCTATCTCAACAATTTAATTCATCGATGACAAAATGAACCAGAGAAAACAAGAAAATATTTAGCGATCAAAAGGTGAATACATATAAATGGTGTATAGAACGGCTTTCCATAAAGCCCAAAATATATTTTTTGTAACGATTCTCTGTTATATCATACTTAATAATTGTTATAAAATACCGAATATTTGTTAAAGTTAACCGATTTTCCATTGAACCAATATTTTAGTGTATAATACACATTTTAGTTACAATTATTTTACATATAATTTGTAATAATACTTTATGCTTTTTTATTTTGAATGCTTCTTAAATTCTAGCGAATTTTACTTATGATAAATCATCGTAAGTCGCTAAATAATAATAATATTGTGAATAATTGTTCCATTATATTTTTTCCACTTTTACCGAATCTTTAGTAAAACAAATAAATAGCTAGGTTCCTCAAATAATTAACAACGTGACATTATTCGTTCGAGTGTATCTCGAGATGTGACTCTTTAATTAAGCTAAGTAAACAAAAATCAAAAACATCTGAGAATTTATAAATACATATAGAGGAAACTGTCATAGCGGCGATGTCAAATACAAACACAGAGAGAAAACACACTGCTGAGTTGTTAATACAAATAAAAAGAAAAACACGTGGCAGAGATATATATTATACAAATATAGAGAGAATACATGGATGAGGTGTAATGTACAAATATATATCAGAAAATACAGAAATGTCTGAAGTGTTAAAGAATAAAATACAAATATAGAAAGGACATTCGTAGCTGAGGTAAAGTAAACCCATACAGAGGGAGCAGGTGTCATACACATATATGCAACTGGAAATAATAATTATCTTGATAACTGTTTTCATGATATTTCATATAACATAGCCTGTATTATGATTTACTTTAAGGTGTAAATATGCTTCTGCTGAACTCTTTTAAGTTATAAAATCAGCTTACCTTGAGTGGCCACATATGCATTTTTTTTCTCTAAACTCTATAACATATAACGTATTTTGGTAACTTTTTATTAAACAATATGTAATCAAATATTTTACTTTATGAGAGCAGTGTAATGAACAATAACGTTTGGGTAAATAAGACATTGTGTTGACTTCAAGTTAACGATGCTAGGCGGAACAAGCACTACACCAAATATCCCCAAATGCATCAAAATATCCACAAGGGAGAAATAAAGAATGTCTGTCCGTCTGTTTGTCTATCATGTTAAGAGAGTCCACATTGCAACATTAAAACATAAATTTACGAGCATATTATTTCAAGGCAAAAAAATACTTTTTCATACAATGTTAAATAGGTATTTCTCCCATTATATCAACACTAAGAATTCTATTTTTTTTCTACATACGTCAATATAGTTAGCGTTGATGTAATCGTTTCCTTCGCCTCTCAAAATCACGCGTGAATGGTCATCTGTAATAGACATAAACACTTATCTCCGTATATGGCTTACGTTAAAACTATTATAAGAAAGATACAAAATAATAATTATAATAATAATTAACTGATATTCAATTTCAATTTCAACAAATTTTATTGACAATATAAGCAATAGTAAATACGATCAGACATCAGGCATAGCCTATCTAAGTCCTCTCCTTAAAGTGCCAACAGGTGGTAAGAAACACAGACATATATTTGTACATTGATATGATGTTTGGGATAAGGCGAAGTAACTACTTGATGTAAACAGACTTGTTCACTATTCTTGAGATATAGTAACCCTTTCACTAGGGATATTTAATTTGAGATATTTACTAGACTATTATCTTCAGTGAATAGTATCAAGTATCTGACAATGAGTTACTGGTATTCATATAAGGTAAACTGTTGGGTATAAATATTTGGTGATATTGAATTTATTCCCTCAACAGATACAGGCCATACAGTCCATATGTATAACACACTAGCCATCACACACTGTTAAGGATCAAAAGCCAATTTCAGCAAATAGATATATAATTTGTAAGTAGGGCTACACCAACTCCTGTAAGTAAAGTAGTAATTCTTTAATTAAATTGAAAGGAGTTACTCCATATCTTGATGTAAGCTTAAAAAAGAAGAAGAAAATAGAAAACATAGAAAACACACAAAAAAACACAAAAATACACACAAAAATACACACAAAAAAAAGAAAGAAAAAACCCATCTAAGCTGCCCAGAGCCAATTAACTGATATATACACAGAATCATCAGTTCTAGGTTAAAACATATACGAACTTACACAACTAGCCTTCAAGATAAATGCATAAACGAAAAAATAGCAAAACGTTAATGAAAAAAAGGAAACTAGGTTAAATACAAAACGAAGGCAAGCACGAAGCTAACATAAATACGATAATTTTAAACATATCTACATACATGGAAACGTTGTCAGAAAGCGGTTTCGAGATTTGTTTTCAGGTCTTTGACCAGCATCGCAGGCATGGACAGCACCACCAGGAAGTTGCTAAAATTCAACCATACAATGTAGGCCTAACATTGTGTAACACTATAACACATCAAACATGAATATTTCTAACTTTAGGTTATCGATGCTGGTATATTTTGTTTCCATTAAAATTTGTATAAGGCATTAATCCATTTCATTAGTTTTGTGCCAAAGTCAATAATCTTCCAATTAAAGGTACATTCAGTAGTAAGTCAGTTACTTAGTTCACACTAGTATTAATTTTGTTATCTCGATTGTTGTAAAGTTATTGACCTACTGAAAATTGCTATTTCTTGATATGTTATAAGATTTCTAGGTGTTCAAGTCATTATCAAAGTTAAAATTACTTTTTATTTAGTGTTAAAGTCAATAGCATAGACCAAATGACTGTTTTTAAGTGCTCAAGTTCTTAAACTGGTCCAAATTACTATATATATGTAGATACGAGTTTCTTTGTGTTTGTGTCAATATTCACCAGAGGATCGATTCAGTAAGGGTTTTTCATTCATATATAACATATATAAAACTGAATCATAATCATACTCATCTCACCCATCTGATCACGAACATCATCTACCGCTTCACAATATGCGTGTCATGCGAAAGCAAGGTTGAAATTAAACTATCGGAAAGAACGGAACTGTGTAAAATAAAACTTTGTTGTTAATTAAATTTTTCGGTAGATTACCTTGAATTCTTCATGTAGTTCATTTGAGTGAAGTTTTTTGGACAAAAACATGGGTATGTCAACCGTAGGCATTCCAACAAGTTCTTCTGATTCTGGAGGATTTGATGATCTTCTAAAATAAAGACCTCGGTGACATATAAACTCAATAGATAAACAAAAAGTAAGAGTTGCATGCTTTTTAATTACGTATATATATGGTCTTCATTGCCACTTTATAAACCTACCAAAGGATATAGTTCATTACATATGTTAATGAATAATTTATATTTAAGACTTTCTACTTCTAATTAAAATTTTGGGGTATGTTTTCAACCAATAGAACAATAACAATTTGGTATCATCCACCTTTCTCCAATGTTAACGTTGATGTCTTCACATATAAAATGACGTCATGATGATATGGTTTCATAACCTACAACTGACTTTGGTAGGTTTATATAGAGGCAATGCAGAGCATATATAAATCTATATCTATAATATCTAGATGGACAATGTTTCATTATAGGAGTATAATGCTGTAACGAAGACAGTTCAATGTTAACATTAAATTAAGGACTACAGGTTATCTTTATAGCGCGCTCGCACACACACACACACACACACACACACAAATAGATATTTCAAAAAATAACAAAACAATAATGTCATACGAACATCATAGTATGGGTGTCAGAAGTTTATCAGAATACCTCAAGATCGACCACTGATGCATCTACCCTACTACACACTTTCAAACTCAGTTTTTGTACCATTTTGTACTATAGTGTTCAAAATGTATTCTGATCTATGGAATCGATTGTTCAACACATAAATATTTGACTGGGCTACCATTAAAGATATTTAAGTTTAGTATGATACATACAACACTAATGAAATATAGTTCTTACTATTTCTAAGAACACAAATGACGTTTCAGTGTATGTACCACAGATGTACAAAAACAACCATTTATCACCAACTGAAGAGAACATCTACATCGGCAAAGAGAAAATACCATTTAGATTGGTCAATATTAAATCGATACTACACGTTATACCATGTGGAAATACGACATTTCGTTTGTCTTCACATCAAGTTTTTACCACACTGATAATTTCTGATATGTTATTGGTAAAAATGTAATAAACCTATTTTCTAAAGAAAAGTATGGGTGCCAATTTGGGCTTTCTGGTGGCTATCACCGATAAGTTCCAATCCGAGGTATGAAGGTTAACGTGGGGGACCAACATCACAAACGGTCTCTTTTTGACAATACCACGAGTAAATGTTTAAAACTTTCTTCATAAGTGCGATGCATTGTTTAAAGTTGAGTAACAAATAAAAAAAAATGTCGAACAAGGTAGCACATAGTGGGTTCTTGTTATGCATTGACTAAATTATGTCAACGATATGTGTCATATCAGACCCCACGAAATCTCAGGAAAGGGAGGAGGGCGTTTTGTTCCTGCCTTTTGTTTATACTTTCACATTTTTCAATTTTATTCATAATTATCAAATTATTTTTGCTCAAAAGCCACACAAGAAATGTTAATAAATTTTATTTAGACATACATAGGACTTTCAGATATATTAGACCAATATAACAACAGTTATAACTAAAAGCTTTGTAACTTCCTAACTGTCGGTATGAAAAAACTTGAATTATTTCTGACAGTGCTTTGAGTAAATTCAGATTCATGTATAGATCAATGTAAAATGATTAAAAAGTATGGATGTACATAGTTTTTTTTTACAGTTATAGTTGATATTTTGGCCAACATAATAGGATGTATTTCCACCCCTGAATAAGGACCTCTGCACAAATATATATGCTAGGTGTGTGTTAGGGGGTGGCAATACATCAATCCCATTATGTTAGCCAAAATTTCAATCTAAATTGTAAACAAATATGATATTTTTATGTGCATCCAGTATCTCAGTCATTTATAACTAAGCTATAAATGAATCTGAATTTGCTGAAAGCACTGACAGAGAAAAAGTCAAGTTTATTACAAGAAGCAAGGTACACTTACTTGTTGTACATAAAAAATAAGTATTCAGGTATGTCTAAATAAAATTGGCAGTTGTTACTAAACACGTACCTTCTCTTCATAACATAAAATATAGTTATTCCAATTACCACCAAAACAACAACAACACTACTTCCAACACCAGCACCAATAGCAGCACCAGAACTTGTCTGTTCAGTTTCTGAAAAAAATGGTGATGTTAGGGGTTAAAACATCTCACACACTTACACGAAATAAATGTTAAGTAACTTTACTTATTATAGAACCAAACACCGACATAGAACATAAAAATGCCATAATTGCAAGCAAACAGACATCATGTAACATATATGTACCTATTACAGACATTGTGTGACATATATGTACCTATTACAGACATTGTGTGACATATATGTACCTATTACAGACATTGGGTAGCATATATGTACCTATTACAGACATTGTGTAACATATATGTACCTATTACAGACATTAACATTATGTACTCAAAAAGGAACTCAAACGTAAAATTCAGGTGACCTTCATAGTTCATCTTATAGTGAGATTTTTCCTAATAAAAAAGGTCAGCTATATAACGAGAGATGTTTGAAAGATAGCCTTACCTTGGTCACATTCTTGCGACATCCAGCCGTTCTCGCAGCCATTGGCACACATTCCACTGATATGGTTACATGATTCCGTGTGAAGGCAGTGTCCACATATACTTGAACAAGAGGCACCATATGAGAATGGATCACACACTGAAAGCATAAGAACATTATAATCTCATCTAGAACTGTTATCCACATGCTAACTTAGACACCACCTCAATACACAATTAGCAACACAGGAATAAATGCTTACAAAAAGAATCGAAAACTGATTTGGTAGGAATGAGACGAACATATCATTCTTTATTTTTTTCTGCTATGTAGTCCGTATCCTGTATCTATTTAGAGGACTGTCACTTTCACTAGTATTGCCGAGTGGTTAACCAACACGTACTTCGACTGATGAAAGCTACATTGAGACCTATTTTTTTAATGTCAAAAGAGTAATATCGTTAAAAGGGACTATAATTGCGATTCATATAAAAACAAAGAAGTATAATCAAACAGAAATTAAAAAAACCCGGATATAATAGGTATCCCCGTTGGGTTTGCGCTTTCTGTTTCAACTTCGATAGCCGCAAAGTTTATTCAGTTAACTACATTAACATAATGTTTCAAAGAAAGACCTCAAATAATAACGATGAAACTGCAAGGAATCGATTTTTTTTTCATTTCATCTCAGATATTTTATTGTACTGATCTTATGTACAAAAGGAATTGGGCAACAGACATAGCCTATATAAGCCCTCTCCTTACAAAACATAACAGTATATACTTATCATACACATGTTACTTTTACAGATGTTTCTTTAAGTATTAAAATAAGATATTATTTGTACTTTGAATTTGATTTGACAATATATATTTCAAATATCACAATTGTTATAAAAGAGATTATTTTTCAAAGTTATTTAAGAATCTAATAAAAATGTCTAGTGTCTCTAATGTAATTCTGAACCGTCTCCACAATATCTATATTCATATTTACGTCTCGTGATTGGAAACCATAAATACAAGTTTGGGTATTGAGTGGAATAGCATCACTCATCGCTGACAGAGAGTTAAGTAATATTAGTCGTTGGTTAGTATAAAAAGGACAGTGCAGGAAAAAATTATCACGATCTTCGAAGGGGGAGCCACACATAAAAGAAGGGCTCTCATTTAGATGTGCATTGAATAAATCTGAATTTAAATTACTTGCAGAATTTTTTAACTGACATACTGTTATGTTAATTTTTCTATCACCGTGATATTTACAAATGTTATTACATATTGGTGAACTTCATCCATATGGGATGAACGTAAACATTCCTTTTTTCAGTGCTCCAAGAGATGTCATAGTGGGAAACAGGCTGGATTGTTCCATTCTGACATCAGTTTTGGAAAATAACTAGAGTTATATAAATGCGTTCTTGGTACTGGAATGTCAAATAACCCATTGTGTCGAAAGTTGTAATGTTCAAAGTTATTAAGAAAGGGCAGTATCAAGTATGAGACATGAGATGGACAATTGTTATTAAAGAATTTAAAATAATAACGATGAAACTGCAAGGAACCGAGTAAGGAGCTATCAAAATGTCGATGTTAATATTGCAAAAGAAAACAGGCAGAGACAGACAGTATCAGGAGGAAAAAAATGATATCTGTACAGTTTTGGAGTTGCCCGAACAGACAGACATACAGACAAGGGAGACAGACAACTTCTTTAAGGGAGTATAATCAACATAAAACAGGAGGTAACAAACAAAAAGCATGGCTACATGAAGAAAAAAACAATTTAAAGAGACATGGAGCATATCTATTTTTTTAACAGACAAGTTACAAGTTTCTGTCCGATGCATATCAATATTCACCCTCGTCGCAACGTTGGCCTTTCCATCCATTGTCACAGCCGTCAGGACATTTTCCATCGGTACGGTTACAAGTTGTCCCATGTTTACAGTTGCCGCATTTTTCTTCACAGTTTTCCCAGTAGAATCCGACATCGCATTCTGTGGAACATTACCATATTGAAATGTTCATATCTATGTTTATAGAAAACTATATATTTTCACGATATATCCACATAGACTTTGTTTACGTCTTTACAGACGCTAAAAACTTAAAAAAGTACCAAAAATTGATTATGGTAGAATTGAGACGAAAACATTAATATATGTGCGTTTCTACATTGTAGTCCGTATCCTGGCTCTATTTAGAGGACTGTCACTTTCACTAGTATTGTCAATTGGCTAACCAACACGTACGAGTATTAGTTCGACTGATGAAAGATACAACTGAGACATATTGCTTTTTAAAGTCAAATGAATAATATCGTTAAAAGGAACCAAAATTACAATTATAAAACAATGAAGTGCAAATCAAACAGAAATTAAACTCAATGGCGAAATATGAACAAAATAAAGTTAAACACCAGAATATTTAAAAAACAGATATATCAGGTATCCCCGTTGGGTAACCGCTTTCTGTTTCATCTACGAAACCTGCAATGTAAATTTAGATTCAACTATAAACGTCATGTTTCAAAGATAGACCATAGGTTATAACGATGAAACCACAAGGAACCGAGTATGGCAATTTATAAATTATCGAAGTTCAGATAACAAAAGTAAATATGATAGTTTTAATGAAACCATCATGGTGTAAGAAAATGTTGCCATAGTTATTTCACTTTAAATTGACTGCGACATAAAAACACGAAAGGTGAGAAAGCAGAGATGTTCTTTTCAAGTAAGGGAAAGTAAATTTCGGTTTATCGAAATTGCATGTATATACATTGTATTTTCAATTAAGTATTGAATAGATAAGACTCTGAATTACCAAATTATAAAGAGTTTTCTAATTACCATGCATACTAACTGTCAGGTACACTGATTAAGTTGACCTGTAGTTGATTTTATAATTAACTCCCCAAGACAAACGCTATGTCAACTTAAACGCTATTAATATAGAGCAAGGACACCTTGACCTACTTATCAACCCTGTGATGGTTTGGTCGGTCAGTTTCACGATATACAGATATAGTGTTACAAAATACATCAAAATTATCAAGAAAAGTTTTCATATAATTCCATGTAGTTTTGTTAAAATGTAGTCATTTATGAATTCGGTTCCTTGTCTTTTCCAATCATATCTCGGAATGGTGTCCATAAAGACCTTAATTTATTATCATGCCATGACATCATAACCACAGGACAGATCTATGCATGCATTAAAGTTATTACTAGTTACCACCGGAAGATCCATTAAATCAAGCATCATTTGTTTCCACGCTATTTCTATCACTTTTAGTCAGCATACCACAATTATTTTCTACAACAATATTTTTTTTTTATTTTTGTAATAGTTTGATAAACGTTATGTATATGCATAAGGGTATCGGACTTTATTATATTTCAAGGATTATTAGAAACTCTTATTTACCTTTATCACATGTGTTGCCTTGCCAACCTTCGTCACATCCGTGTTCACATGTTCCGTTGACATAATGACATATGGTACCGTTCACGCACGCTCCACAAACTTCATGACATTGATCACCATAAAAACCAGTCTGACATTCTGTGTTTGTAGAAAAATGGCTGCTTATTTAGATCGTTATATCATCTTTTTTTTACAAAATTTCATCCAGTTTAAGCAATTTCTTGTTTAGTATATTACTACTGTATGATACACACAAATTAACGATACATTCAAATGTATGGTACATCCATTTTTGACCTATACGTGGTACAGCTTAGAAGTACTTAACAACATGAAATGTTATCAACCAACAACAGCAAGAACTATTACACGTGATTGATTCGGAGAAAGTCATTCCTCCATACTGTTGGAGTAACGTGGGAATGGCAACTTCCAAATGATTGGGATGTGCATTACCTGATGGAATTGGTCTCAATAAAAACAACATGGCTTGGTTTTGGCGAAAAATGGCTGTTCCACCATTCGGTAAAACAAGTTGTCTTAAATGTTTAACGAACCGAAGGGAACAATCTCGACGGTTGAAATACGTTTTTCTTTGAGCTTAAAACGTAAGTTTGTTGGTGCATAGCACCTCAAATGTAAAACAAATACAATGAACCCTTAACATGTCAGGCATATAAACAACCAACAACAGACTACCGAAGTGTCAACAAAACCATAATTCAAGCCCAAAGGCGATAAAACTAGAGACACAAAAAAAACAAAAAAAGAATATAAATAAGAGTAAGAGCAAGGGTTCCGAAAGGATTACAGTTGATGATACATACAGATGTATATATACATGCAAATGAACGGAAATGAAAAAGGGCAACTATTTGGTTACCGGAAGACACACAAATAAAAACTTGATGACTTAAGAATGACTCAGAAGGAGTATCTATCCTCCATACAAACAGTATAAATGATAACAAAAAGAATCGAAAATTGATCTGGTAGGAATGAGACGAACACATTAATATATGTGTTTCTACATTGTAGTCCGTATCCTGGCTCTGTTTAGAGGACTGTCAGTTTCACTAGTATTGCTGAGTGGCTAACCAACACGTACGAGTATTAGTTCGACTGATGAAAGCTACAATTGAGACCTATTTTTGTTAATGTCAAATGAATAATATCGTTGAAAGAAACTATAATTGCGATTCATATAAAACAAAGAAGTAAAAATCAAATATTAACTAAACTAAATGGCGGAATATGAACAAAATAAAGTTTAACACCAAGATACGTTAAAAAACGGATATAACAGGTATCCCCTAGGGGTTTGCGATTTCTGTTTCAACCTGGATAGCAGCAATGTTTATTTAGTTTTACTACATTATTATAATGTTTCAAAGAAAGACCTTGAATAATAACGATGAAACTGCAAGGAACCGGGTAAGGAGCTATCAAAATATCGATGTTAATATTGCAAAAGTGAACAAACAGAGACATACAGTATCAGGGGGAATAAATTGATATCTGTACAGTTTTGGAGTTGCCCGAACAGACAGACATACAGACAGAGAGACAGACAACTTCTTTAAGGGAGTATAATAAACATGGAAAAAGGAGGTAACAAACAAAAAGCATGGCTACATGAAGTTTTTTTTTTAAGAGACATGGAGCATATCTATTTTTTTCACAGACAAGTTACAAGTTTCTGTCCGATGCATATCAATATTTACCCTCGTCGCAACGTTGGCCTTTCCATCCATTGTCACAGCCGTCAGGACATTTTCCATCGGTACGGTTACAAGTGGTCCCATGTTTACAGTTGCCGCATTTTTCTTCACAGTTTTCCCAGTAGAATCCGGCGTCGCATTCTGTCGAACATTACCATATTGAAATGTTCATATCTATGTTTATAGAAAACTATATTTTTCACGATATATCCACATAGTACTTATTAAAAGACTTTGTTTATGTATTTACAGACGCTAAAAACTTAAAAAAGTACCAAAAATTGATTATGGTACAATTGAGACGAAAACATTAATATATGTGCGTTTCTGCCTTGTGGTCAGTATCCTGGCTCTTTTTAGAGGACTGTCACTTTCACTAGTATTGCCGAGTGGCTAACCAACACGTACGAGTATTAGTTCGACTGATGAAAGCTACAACTGAGACCTGTTTTTTTTAAAAAGTTAAATGAATAATATTTGTTAAAAGGAACTATAATTACAATTATAAAACAATGAAGTGCAAATCAAACAGACATTAAACTCAATGACCAAATATGAACAAAATTAAGTTAAAAACCAAGATATTTAAAAAACGGATATTTCAGGTATTCCCGTTGGGCAAGCGCTTTCTGTTTCATCTACAATACCCGCAATGTAAATTTAGATTCAACTATAAACGTCATGTTTCAAAGATAGACCATAGGTTATAACGATGAAACCACAAGGAACCGAGTATGGCAATTTATAAATTATCGAAGTTCAGATAACAAAAGTAAATATGATAGTTTTAATAAAACCATCATGGTGTAAGAAAATGTTGCCATAGTCTCCATCTTCATTATTCAGAGCAAATGTGTAACTTTAAATTGACTGCGACATGAAAACACGGAAGGTAAGAAAGCAGAGATGTTCTTTTCAAGTAAGGGAAAGTAAACATTCGGATTATCGAAATTGCATGTATATACATTGTATTTTCAATTAAGTATTGAATAGATAAGACTCTGAATTACCAAATTCTAAAGAGTTTTCTAGTTACTATGCATACTAACTGTCAGGTACACTGATTAAGTTGACCTGTAGTTGATTTTATAATTAACTCCCAAAGACAAACGCTATGATAACTTAAACGCTATAGATATAGAGCAAGGACACCTTGACCTTCTTATCAACCCTGTTATGTTTTGGTCGGTCAGTTTCACTATATGCAGATATAGTGTTACAAAATACATCAAAATTATCAAGAAAAGTTTTCATATAATTCCATGTAGTTTTGTTAAAATGTAGTCATTTATTGATTCGGTTCCTTGTCTTTTCCATTCATATCACGGATGGTGTCCATAAATACCTTAATTTAATGTAATGCCATGACATCATAACAACAGGACAGATCTATGCATGCATTAAAGTTATTACTAGTTATTACCGGAAGATCCATTAAATCAAGCATCATTTGTTTCCACGCAAGTTCTATCACTTTTAGTCAGCATACCACAATTATTTTCTACAACAATATTTTTTTTATTTTTGAAATAGTTTGATAAACGTTATGTATATGCATAAGGGTATCGGACCTCATTATATTTCAAGGATTATTAGAAACTCTTATTTACCTTTATCACATGTGTTGCCTTGCCAACCTTCGTCACATCCGTGTTCACATGTTCCGTTGACATGATGACATATGGTACCGTTCACGCACGCTCCACAAACTTCATGACATTGATCACCATAGAAACCAGTCTGACATTCTGTGTTTGTAGAAAAATGGCTGCTTATTTAGATCGTAATATCATCTTTTTTACAAAATTTCATCCAGTTTAAGCAATTTCTTGTTTAGTATATTACTACTGTATGATACACACAAATTAACGATACATTCAAATGTATGGTACATCCATTTTTGACCTATACGTGGTACAGCTTAGAAGTACTTAACAACATGAAATGTTATCAACCAACAACAGCAAGAACTATTACACGTGATTGATTCGGAGAAAGTCATTCCTCCATACTGTTGGAGTAACGTGGGAATGGCAACTTCCAAATGATTGGGAGGTGTATTACCTGATGAAATTGGTCACAATAAAAACAACATGGCTTTGTTTTGGCGAAAAATGGCTGTTCCACCATTCGGTAAAACAAGTTGTCTTAAATGTTTAACGAACCGAAGGGAACACTCCCGAAGGTTGAAATAAGTTTTTCTTTGAGCTTAAAACGTAAGTTTGTTTGTGCATAGCACCTCAAATGTAAAACAAATACAATGAAACCTCATCATGTCAGGCATATAAACAACCAACAACAGACTACCGAAGTGTCAACAAAACCATAATTCAACCCAAAGGCGATAAAACTAGGGACACAAAAAACCCCAAAATATGAATAAAAATAAGAGTAAGAAAAAGGGTTCCGAAAGGATTACAGTTGATGATACATACAGATGTATATATACATGCAAATGAACGGAAATGAAAAAGGGCAACTATTTGGTTACCGGAACACACACAAATAAAAACGTGATGACTTAAGAATGACTCAGAAGGAGTATCTATCCTCCATACAAACAGTATAAATGATAACAAAAAGAATCGAAAATTGATCTGGTAGGAATGAGACGAACACATTAATATATGTGTTTCTACATTGTAGTCTGTATCCTGGCTCTATTTAGAGGACTGTCACTTTCACTAGTATTGCCGAGTGGCTAACCAACACGTACGAGTATTAGTTCGACTGATGAAAGTTACAATTGAGACCTATTTTTGTTAATGTCAATTGAATAATATCGTTGAAAGAAACTATAATTGCGATTCATATAAAACAAAGAAGTAAAAATAAAATATTAACTGAACTAAATGGCGGAATATGAACAAAATAAAGTTTAACACCAAGATACGTTAAAAAACGGATATAACAGGTATCCCCTAGGGGTTTGCGATTTCTGTTTCGACTTCGATAGCAGCAATGTTTATTTAGTTTTACTACATTATTATAATGTTTCAAAGAAAGACCTTGAATAATAACGATGAAACTGCAAGGAACCGAGTAAGGAGCTATCAAAATATCGATGTTAATATTGCAAAAGTAAACAGACAGAGACATACAGTATCAGGGGGAATAAATTGATATCTGTACAGTTTTGGAGTTGCCCGAATAGACAGACATACAGACAGAGAGACAGACAACTTCTTTAAGGGAGTATAATAAACGTGGAAACAGGAGGTAACAATCAAAAAGCATGGCTACATGAAGAAAAAAACATTTTAAGAGACATAAAGCATATCCATCTTTTTTACAGACAAGTTACAAATTTCTGTCCGATGCATATCCATACTTACCCTCGTCGCAATGTTGGCCTTTCCATCCATTGTCACAGCCGTCAGGACATTTTCCATCGGTACGGTTACAAGTGGTCCCATGTTTACAGTTGCCGCATTTTTCTTCACAGTTTTCCCAGTAGAATCCGGCATCGCATTCTGTGGAACATTACCATATTGAAATGTTCATATCTATGATTATAAAAGACTATATATTTTCACGATATATCCACATAGTACTTATTAAAAGACTTTGTTTACTTATTAACAGACGCTAAAAACTTAATAAAGTACCAAAAATTGATTATGGTAGAAATGAGACGAAAACATTAATATATGTGCGTTTCTGCCTTGTGGTCAGTATCCTGGCTCTTTTTAGAGGACTGTCACTTTCACTAGTATTGCCGAGTGGCTAACCAACACGTACGAGTATTAGTTCGACTGATGAAAGATACAATTGAGACCTGTTTTTTTTTTTTAAAGTTAAATGAATAATATTGTTAAAAGGAACTATAATTACAATTATAAAACAATGAAGTGCAAATCAAACAGAAATTAAACTCAATGGCGAAATATGAACAAAATAAAGTTAAACACCAAGATATTTAAAAAACGGATATTTCAGGTATTCCCGTTGGGTAAGCGCTTTCTGTTTCATCTACGAGACCCGCAATGTAAATTTAGATTCAACTATAAACGTCATGTTTCAAAGATAGACCATAGGTTATAACGATGAAACCACAAGGAACAGAGTATGGCAATTTATGAATTATCGAAGTTCAGATAACAAAAGTAAATATGATAGTATTAATAAAACCATCATGGTGTAAGAAAATGTTGCCATAGTCTCCATCTTCATTATTCAGAGCAAATATGTAACTTTAAATTGACTGCGACATGAAAACACGGAAGGTAAGAAAGCAGAGATGTTCTTTTCAAGTAAGGGAAAGTAAACTTTCAGATTATCGAAATTGCATGTATATACATTGTATTTTCAATTTAGTATTGAATAGATAAGACTCTGAATTACCAAATTCTAAAGAGTTTTCTAATTACCATGCATACTAACTGTCAGGTACACTGATTAAGTTGACCTGTAGTTGATTTTATAATTAACTCCCCAAGACAAACGCTATGTCAACTTAAACGCTATAGATATAGAGCAAGGACACCTTGACCTTCTTATCAACCCTGTGATGTTTTGGTCGGTCAGTTTCACTATATGCAGATATAGTGTTACAAAATACATCAAAATTATCAAGAAAAGTTTTCATATAATTCCATGTCGTTTTGTTAAAATGTGGTCATTTATTGATTCGGTTCCTTGTCTTTTCCATTCATATCTCGGATGGTGTCCATAAAGACCTTAATTTAATGTCATGCCATGACATCATAACCACAGGACAGATCTATGCATGCATTAAAGTTATTACTAGCTACCACCGGAAGATCCATTAAATCAAGCATCATTTGTTTCCACGCAAGTACTATCACTTTTAGTCAGCTTACCACAATTATTTTCTACAACAATATTTTTTTTTAATTTTTGTAATAGTTTGATAAACGTTATGTATATGCATAAGGGTATCGGACTTTATTATTTTTCAAGGATTATTAGAAACTCTTATTTACCTTTATCACATGTGTTGCCTTGCCAACCTTCGTCACATCCGTGTTCACATGTTCCGTTGACATGATGACAATTGGTACCGTTCACGCACGCTCCACAAACTTCATGACATTGATCACCATAGAAACCAGTCTGACATTCTGTGTATGTAGAAAAATGGCTGCTTATTTAGATCGTAATATCATCTGTTTTACAAAATTTCATCCAGTTTAAGCAATTTCTTGTTTGGTATATTACTACTGTATGATACACACAAATTAATGATACATTCAAATGTATGGTACATCCATTTTTGACCTATACGTGGTACAGCTTAGAAGTACTTAACAACATAAAATGTTATCAACCAAGAACTATTACACGTGAATAATTTGAGTTTCAAACGAAACGGAGAAGGTCATTCCATCATACTGTTGAGAAACGTGGGAATGGCACCTTCAAAATGATTGGGAGGGGATTTACCTGATGGAACTGGTCACAATAAAAACAACATGGCTTGGTTTGGCGAAAAATGGCTATTCCACCATTCGGTAAAACACGTTGTCTTAAATGTATAACGAACCGAAAGGAACAATCCCGAAAATTGAAATAAATGTTTCTTTGAGCTTAAAACGTAAGTTTGTTGTGCACTATTATTCATATATAAAATGTGCGAAAGACGGTGTTTTATAAGTTTGCCAATATTTTTATGAAATGTTTACAGAGTGACATTTAATGAATGTCAACATTTGTATCAGATGCGTACGCCCGTGTTTGCTGTTTATCTTATTTATCTTATTTACACAATATTTGTACTTGGTAGTGTGATAAAGTATTCACCTGTTATACACATCGGAGGTTGCCAGCCCGGCTCACATCCCTCTGTACAGGCCCCGTTCACATTGTCACAGCTAGAACCAGCTTCACACTTTCCGCATGTATTTGTGCAATTGGTCCCGAATGTACCATTTTCACACTCTAGAAAACATATGGATTCATTTTTTAGTTAATCAATTGACCCTTGAAAATATTTAGTCAGGTCGTAATAATGCAATGTTTTTGTTTCATTTCATTTTGACATTACAATGGAAATTACACAAGAGGACAACATCAAGGTTTTGTTTTTGGAGTGATTAGGAATTGAACGACTGGATACCCTATGCTTGTTGGTAAGATCAAAATGATATGGAACGCCCGGAAGAATCGGACCACAATTAGGTCACGTGCTACGCCCGGAAGTATCGGACAACAATTTGATCACGTTCCTTGGATGTATGGATGAGATATGAATTTCATTTTCATAATAATTACTGCTAAGATGACCACGCTTACCAATTTCACAATTGGGAAGTTGCCAACCCGGTTCACAAATATCCAAACAGCGACCGTCAGTAACGTTGCAGGGGACCCCATCTCGACAATGACCGCACTGGGATGAACAGTTATGACCGTACGTATGGTTTAGGCATTCTACAAAGATATAATTACATTATGTTGATTTACCCAATACCACAGGATTTGCGACACTTTTGTAGACGGACAATTGCATATTTCACATGAGTTGCCTTGGTATAGAAAGCAACATTTGGTATATACCGTCGATGACCAATATTAGAATGCTATATCAGTTTCCAACATAATATATTACCAGCATTGCAGTAAGGTTCCTGCCAACCCGGATCACAACCTTCCGTACATATTCCTGTCGTCTGCTCGCAAGCTGACTCGTTCCTACACGTACCGCAACTCTGTGAGCAATTCAACCCGAAGGTGTGGTTTTCACATTCTATACAAAAAATAAAACACATGATACAATTATGAAATGATGTTTTAGAAACCAGATAATGGACAAAAGCGAAACGTACATTGGTATTTAAATCTTGATGAAATATCCACGACCACATAACGTTTTATAATCGAGTTCATATTACAATTATACATGTAAAACGATGAACAAATATCTATATTTGATCAAACTTGCAAGCACTGACATTGATCTGATCAATTTCATACTTCATGAAGCCTTTGTATTTGTTTATTATTATCACTCTTTATAACCCCAACCATAACAGATCGTAAATACTAATAGTTCTAACTAGTAGGGAGTTCCACCCACCAATCCACCCATCCATCCATCCATCCATCCATCCATCCATCCACCCATCCAACAATCCACCCATCCATCCATCCATCCATCCATCCATCCATCCATCCAACAATCCACCCATCCATCCAGCCATCCATCCAACAATCCACCCATCCATCCAGCCATCCAACAGTCCACCCATCCATAAGTTATTGTTTTTTCCTAAAAAGTTAAAAGTTCTTTTATATTTGTATCTTTACTTACTTTCCTGACAAGATGGTGTTGTTTTGAAACCGGAAGCACAGCCATCATGACAGACACCGTTAGTATGATTACAGGCTGTATAGTTTACACAGCTTCCGCATTCTTCAGTACAGTTGGCACCATAATAACCGGAAGTGCATGCTTAATAAACAAAATGGTAGGTAGCTTTGATATCATACACACTTACCATGTAGGATAAAATTGGAAAATATCATACAAGACAAATGTTATGTATCCCAATAATATTATATTCAGATATTCACATTTATACGAGCTTGTGTAACAGTATGGGCGATTTTAATACAGAAGCAAATGAATACGCAAGTAGACAAATTATGAAATTATCCCTTATTAAGCCTCAAATTCATGATCTACGGTACTGAATCGCCTACAGAAGAAATACTGGGGACACAACTGCAATACCATGCGACATAAATAATGATGTTTTATTTGTCAACAGCACAATCCCCGCGACATAGTCATAATGTGAACTATTTTATTGGTGGTACGAGTACCTTGATCACAACGAAGAGATATATACCGAATACCAATTGCACAAATATTACATATAAGACTAATTGTGACAGGTGATATATCATAAACAGTAGTTTACAACAGATACTTATTTATTCGATAGATATGGTATAACTACGAAAAGAAATTGAATTGTTTCATACTATTCAATAGACACAGTAACACAACGACAAGTTATTATTTTATTATATGATGTGAAAGACATAAAATATCTACAACAGGTAATTCTGTTATTTCATAGACGTAGCATAATGACGTCAGGTAGTTATAAAATTAACTATACACTGTTATTTTACGACGTGTAATGCTATTGTTGAATAGACACAGTATAATTACGACATGTAAATATATTCTCTTATATACACATTATAACTAAAACAGGTAAAAATGTTATTAATAGACAGTAGAATTACGACAGGAAACTTTATTATTTAATGGACAAATATAATTCCGAAGTGTAAATATATTATATATTAGATACTGTATAAGTAAGACAGGAAATAACATTATTTATAAGGCACAATATTATTATGATATATATTTATATTATTTCTTAGACACGGTATAATCACATATCATTTGATTGAAAAACGCATTAATAAACACAATGTGTTCTGGTGTATGTTGATTCAAAGGTTCAGCATATCAAGTACCTGTTGTTATCCTACGTTACATATAATATAAATAAAAATCGTTTATACTTACGTGTTTTACACTTTTCACTAATCCATCCTGTTTCACAACCAAGGGGGCATACTCCGTTCACAGGATTGCAATTTCGGCTATTCAAGCAATGGCCACACGTCAGTTGACAATTTATGCCAAAATATCCATTTTCGCAAGCTTTAAAGGTGAAACAATTTAAAGAATGTGAATTGAACCTGAAAGGAGACTTAATACAGATGAAGGACAGGGGCAGTGTGTTTTTAAATCAACATAAGTATTGTATTCCCTAATTAGCTGTAAAATTAGTTGGTACATCCCTCCTTAATGATAGACTGTCACATAGAGAATATACCTCGACATCATAGCCAGCGTTTACAGTGCTATATCATTTTGCATACAAAGTATCATTTTGTTATCAATACAAATTTCTGTAATAATGTGAGCAATATCATTCTATTTTTTTGTGTTAAGCATTTGTCATCTTGTGGACTATTAGATTATCTACAATGATTTTGAAATATATGTAAATCAGTTCAACCTAAAGCTGTACCCACATGTGTTAACCCACATCATCTGTTTACTCTTTTCTATTTACTAGAAATCAATAAAATACGTACTTTCGTTACAAAAGGTTTCCTGGTACCCGGCATCACATCCAAACACACAGGTCGCATTAGAGAAACACATGTTATCCGTGCATTGTGCTGGGCAAGAAAGCTCACAGTTTTCGCCATACGACCCTGGTACGCATCCTGAAACAAATATTGATGTTTGAACATTGCCAATATGGAAGTTGTTTGTTATGCAAACAGACACAATACATAGAAAACCAAACCATGCATGTTTCAGTTAATGAAATCTCATAAGCAAAGCTGAATGATTAAATGTTGAAGTTGAAATATATAAAAGTAAAATAGAAATCTAAACAACTGACATAAGACAATGATTAGTGATGAACCAAAGGTTAAATACATAATATGAACAACTTGAATGGACTATGATTGCTGCAGAACCCAAGGTAAAATACATAATCTAAACAACTGGAACCAGACTGTGATTAGTACCGAGTCAAAAATATAATACAAAGCTAAGCATCTGGAATAAGACTATGCTAGGAGCTAAACCCAAAATAAAATAACAAATATTTTAACAATTGAAATAAGAACATGATCGGCACTGAACCAAAAAAAATATCTTTTGGCTTAATGACTATTTTGAGAAATACAGCTTTCTGCTATCGTCGCCAATTCTAAAATCACTAGCCACCATAATAACTATCGACTAAAATCATCAACCCTAACCCTAAAATCACTAGGCCCCTAACCCTACCCATAACCACTGACTAGAAACACCAACCATTACCCTAAAGTCACTAACCTTATCCCTAATCATCAGCTTAAACTACCAACCCTAAGCCTGGATAGACATTGAGTCGATCAGCGGAAGTTATTTCTGATACCGGATAATTGACTAAAACGCTTGATAAATTTCTAAAAATAAAATATTGCCAAGAATCCTCCGTCCTTGATAACTCTTTGAATAACTTACCTGTAACTTCTACTTCGCACAATAACTGTGAATAACTAACATGTAACTTCTATTTCGCACAATTCCTGTGAATAACTTACCTGTAACTTCTACTTCGCACAATTCCTGTGAATAACTAACCTGTAACTTCTACTTCGCACAATTCCTGTGAATAACTTACCTGTAACTTCTACTTCGCACAATTCCTGTGAATAACTTACCTGTAACTTCTACTTCGCACAATTCCTGTGAATAACTTACCTGTAACTTCTACTTCGCACAATTCCTGTGAATAACTTACCTGTAACTTCTACTTCGCACAATTCCTGTGAATAACTTACCTGTAACTTCTACTTCGCACAATTCCTGTGAATAACTTACCTGTAACTTCTACTTCGCACAATTCCTGTGAATAACTTACCTGTAACTTCTACTTCGCACAATTCCTGTGAATAACTTACCTGTAACTTCTACTTCGCACAATTCCTGTGAATAACTTACCTGTAACTTCTACTTCGCACAATTCCTGTGAATAACTTACCTGTAACTTCTACTTCGCACAATTCCTGTGAATAACTTACCTGTAACTTCTACTTCGCACAATTCCTGTGAATAACTTACCTGTAACTTCTACTTCGCACAATTCCTGTGAATAACTTACCTGTAACTTCTACTTCGCACAATTCCTGTGAATAACTTACCTGTAACTTCTACTTCGCACAATTCCTGTGAATAACTTACCTGTAACTTCTACTTCGCACAATTCCTGTGAATAACTTACCTGTAACTTCTACTTCGCACAATTCCTGTGAATAACTTACCTGTAACTTCTACTTCGCACAATTCCTGTGAATAACTTACCTGTAACTTCTACTTCGCACAATTCCTGTGAATAACTTACCTGTAACTTCTACTTCGCACAATTCCTGTGAATAACTTACCTGTAACTTCTACTTCGCACAATTCCTGTGAATAACTTACCTGTAACTTCTACTTCGCACAATTCCTGTGAATAACTTACCTGTAACTTCTACTTCGCACAATTCCTGTGAATAACTTACCTGTAACTTCTACTTCGCACAATTCCTGTGAATAACTTACCTGTAACTTCTACTTCGCACAATTCCTGTGAATAACTTACCTGTAACTTCTACTTCGCACAATTCCTGTGAATAACTTACCTGTAACTTCTACTTCGCACAATTCCTGTGAATAACTTACCTGTAACTTCTACTTCGCACAATTCCTGTGAATAACTTACCTGTAACTTCTACTTCGCACAATTCCTGTGAATAACTTACCTGTAACTTCTACTTCGCACAATTCCTGTGAATAACTTACCTGTAACTTCTACTTCGCACAATTCCTGTGAATAACTTACCTGTAACTTCTACTTCGCACAATTCCTGTGAATAACTTACCTGTAACTTCTACTTCGCACAATTCCTGTGAATAACTTACCTGTAACTTCTACTTCGCACAATTCCTGTGAATAACTTACCTGTAACTTCTACTTCGCACAATTCCTGTGAATAACTTACCTGTAACTTCTACTTCGCACAATTCCTGTGAATAACTTACCTGTAACTTCTACTTCGCACAATTCCTGTGAATAACTTACCTGTAACTTCTACTTCGCACAATTCCTGTGAATAACTTACCTGTAACTTCTACTTCGCACAATTCCTGTGAATAACTTACCTGTAACTTCTACTTCGCACAATTCCTGTGAATAACTTACCTGTAACTTCTACTTCGCACAATTCCTGTGAATAACTTACCTGTAACTTCTACTTCGCACAATTCCTGTGAATAACTTACCTGTAACTTCTACTTCGCACAATTCCTGTGAATAACTTACCTGTAACTTCTACTTCGCACAATTCCTGTGAATAACTTACCTGTAACTTCTACTTCGCACAATTCCTGTGAATAACTTACCTGTAACTTCTACTTCGCACAATTCCTGTGAATAACTTACCTGTAACTTCTACTTCGCACAATTCCTGTGAATAACTTACCTGTAACTTCTACTTCGCACAATTCCTGTGAATAACTTACCTGTAACTTCTACTTCGCACAATTCCTGTGAATAACTTACCTGTAACTTCTACTTCGCACAATTCCTGTGAATAACTTACCTGTAACTTCTACTTCGCACAATTCCTGTGAATAACTTACCTGTAACTTCTACTTCGCACAATTCCTGTGAATAACTTACCTGTAACTTCTACTTCGCACAATTCCTGTGAATAACTTACCTGTAACTTCTACTTCGCACAATTCCTGTGAATAACTTACCTGTAACTTCTACTTCGCACAATTCCTGTGAATAACTTACCTGTAACTTCTACTTCGCACAATTCCTGTGAATAACTTACCTGTAACTTCTACTTCGCACAATTCCTGTGAATAACTTACCTGTAACTTCTACTTCGCACAATTCCTGTGAATAACTAACCTGTAACTTCTACTTCGCACAATTCCTGTGAATAACTTACCTGTGACTTCTACTTCGCACAATTCCTGTGAATAACTTACCTGTAACTTCTACTTCGCACAATTCCTGTGAATAACTAACCTGTAACTTCTACTTCGCACAATTCCTGTGAATAACTTACCTGTGACTTCTACTTCGCACAATTCCTGTGAATAACTTACCTGTAACTTCTACTTCGCACAATTCCTGTGAATAACTAACCTGTAACTTCTACTTCGCACAATTCCTGTGAATAACTTACCTGTGACTTCTACTTCGCAGAATTCATGTGATAACTAACCTGTAACTTGTACTTCGCACAATTCCAAAACAGCATTTATACTGTATTTATAAGTTTTGTTTGGGTTTCTTGTAGTTCCATTTCTCCGATCAATACTAATCTCGACATATCTGCCGACCATTTCACACGTGCGGTTCTGTATTAGGTTTGGTAACCGTGGATCCCTGTCTGTATAGCATACATCACTCTCTGTACTCAATTCCTCCTCGCTGACTGTGATCTCAAATCCGTGCAGACGTTTTCCTACTGCGTAGGTTGAATGTAAATGAAGTCAATGAATGGCATGTCAAGTTTGACACGGTCGTCTAAATACTAGTTAATTTGACATTGGCATTAGTCGTTTTATCAATCTTTTATTTTTAAATAAAATCTACTTAAAGATAATGTAAATTACCAATTAAATTGTGTGTGTATATGTAAGTATGTAGTACGCGTGTTTACCCCTCATGATAGTGATTTGATGCCCAAAAGAGGAAATATGAGTTATAGTCGTGTATTTTGAAAAAGGATTACTCTTATTTGTCATTGAGCAGTAAACAAGAAAGAAAAAAAAAAAGTTTTTTTATTTGAAAGATTGCTCAAGTATTTGTAAAAGTTATTAAAACTCAATTTATAATTGAGCGTCATTTGAACTAGGCTGTACCCTGTATGAATTAAGAGTGAGTGACCTCCCATAAGGAAGACGGAAGAAGGCAAAGAGGACTGAAGTGTCTACAGCTATGGTACAGGAGATTAAAACACCATTTGATACTGCGCATCCCTCGGATAAAGAATTCGCGTTGCAGAAATGGAGAGTTTGGTCTCACTGGAAGAAGGGAAGGGAAAGGGAAATATAGGGAAATCTTTCAAAAAGTACTCCGCGAAATAGAAGATTGAGTTTAAGCTATTTTCCAATCCAAATCAATAACAATAACGATATATACACGACATGAAAATAGCAAATAAACTGATGGAACAACAAATATTAATTCGGGAAAGGACAGATAAATATTTAAGTCAGTAAAGGCATATTTCTACTATTTTGCAAGTAAGTGAGACTTACACAGACTCTTAGACTTGTTGCTTGTGGTGATGTCAATGGTAACATGACTTATAATAGCCAGTCGACCCAGGTCGACCCTCCACCACGCGTACTTGGCACCACGCGACGTGGTGATACATTGGCCATCCGTCTTGTTCCCGTCCACTGTTACATCGGAGTGTAAGTTGGTTGAGTTCCCACTGACAGCAGTCGGTCTCCCAAAGGCAAGGTTCACTGTAGAGCAAACCGTTTTGTATTATGCTTCTGATATTTTCTACATAAATATGATACTCTCATAACACGATGAAATAATAAACCACGTCATCAACATACAAGAACCATATCGAAACACTAGTTAAAAAAATGAAAACACGAACAGACATAAAAGACATTAGATGAAATTAAAGACATTAGTCAAGTCGACAAGAACGTAAAACTATGTGTTAAAATTGGATTCAGAAGGGTATACTATTCAAGGACCACATATTATGCTGGCCATAATAAAAAAATCGAACACCACATATGACACCGGTCATGATATAGATTCACGCACCATACATGGCAAGGGTCATACTATACATTCCAGCGCCACATATGGTACCAGTCATAATACATATATACCCCTGCGCCTCATATGGTACCATTCATAATATATATATATTCCAGCGCCACATATATTACAAGTCATGATATGTAAATTCCAGCGCCACATGTGGTACCATTCATAATACATATATTCCAGGACTACATATGGTACCAGTCATAATATATATATATTCAAGCACCACATATGGTACCGGTAATAATATATATATTCCAGCACCACATATGGTACCGGTAACAATATATACATGCCAGAGCCACATATGGTACAAGTCATAATATAAACATTCCAGTGCCACATATGGTACCAGCCATAATATATATATTCCAGAGCCGCTTATGGTACCGGTCATATTATATTTATACATTCTAGCGCCACATTTGGTACCAGTCATAATATATTGTTACATTCTAGAGCCACATATGGTACCGGTAACAATATATATATATTCCAGAGCCGCTTATGGTACTGGTCGTTATATACATTTTAGCATCACAATTGACACCTTCAATAACATAATTTCTAATACTAAACAAGAATTAGTAATAAATTATAATAGTAATAAACAGGCCTTAGTTATGAACAAGAAATAGTGATCCAATAAACAAGTACAGTAATAAAACAACTGATAATTGTTAATGTTGATGAACGTTGATTGGGCACTAAGATTGATCAAGATCAAGCTAACTCCTACGTACACTTAGATTACCACTAATGACATAGAATAATACAATTTGTTGATTTCATTTATGCTTAAAAAAATATTTATAAATAATTCTACAGTAATCAAGTTAGATCCTACGTACACCTAGATAACCATTAAGACATAGACTGTTACATATTGTTACATTAACTATAGTCATACCACGAGTACACTTTTGCCCACTATGTCCACTAGCGCATCCATTGGTACAAGATCCTGTTATGTGATTGCAGGTTTCATTTTGATCACAGATCCCACATATTCTGTCACAGTGCATACCGTAACTGCCTTTGTCACATTCTATTAAAACAAAGAATACTGGTTGATTATTCATATTCCCCATAGGTACTTCCCTTCGGTATACAGACAGGAACAGAAGCGAGAAATAAGTTCTATATACAACAAAATTTTATAATTAAGCTCAATCATTTGTCGAGACGGATTAATTATGATAAAAGCGTGCATTTGCAAGTATAGAGAAGAGTGAATCTGTCTGTATGATAAGTAACAAATCAATAATCGTTTTAATGATGGCACAACTGTTCTGGTACTTATCCGGAGTGTTGTTAACTTTGGTGGTAGATGTAATCTTCCCATGACAGTTCGTTACTTGGTACAAATGAAGGTAAGACTATCTTCTCGGATAATTTACTCTGTGGGTACCGAGTTAAATATAACCTCCAAATAATCTCTTATTTCTTATTAATGAAGGTAAATATAACTTCTCCATAATCTCTTGTTAATTGGTAATTAAGGTAGTAAATATAACCTCCCAATAATCTCTTGTTGAATGGTAACTACGGTAGTAAATATAACCTCCCCAGAATCTCTTGTTAATTGGTAATAACGGTAGTAAATATAACCTCCTCAAAATGAAGGTAAATATAACTTCTCCATAATCTCTTGTTAATTGGTAATTAAGGTAGTAAATATAACCTCCCCATAATCTCTTGTTGAATGGTAACTACGGTAGTAAATATAACCTCCCCAGAATCTCTTGTTAATTGGTAATAACGGTAGTAAATATAACCTCCTCAAAATCTCTTCATTATTGGTAATTACGTTAGTAAATATAACCTCCCCCAATCTATTTTTTATTGGTAATAACGGTAGTGAATATTACGTCCTCAGAATCTCTTGCTGATTGGTAACTACAGTAGTAAATATAACCTCCCCAGAAACTCTTGTTGATTGGTAATTACGGTAGTTAATATAACCTCCTCAGAATCTCTTGTTTATTGGTAATTACGGTAGTAAATATAACCCCGTCAAAATCTCTTCTTTATTGGTAACTACGGTAGTAAATATAACCTCCGCAGAATCTCTTGTTAATTGGTAACTAAGGTAGTAAATATAACCTCCTCAAGATCTCTTGTTAATTGGTAACTACGGCAGTAAATATAACCTCCTCAAAATTTCTTCTTTATTGGTAACTACGGTAGTAAATATAACCTCCTCAAAATCTCTTGTTAATTGGTAATAACGGTAGTAACTATAACCTCCTCAAAATCTCTTCTTTATTGGTAACTACGGTAGTAAATATAACCTCCCTAGAATCTCTTGTTAATTGGTAACTACGGTAGTAACTATAACCTCCTCAAAATCTCTTCTTTATTGGTTAATACGGTAGTAAATATAACCTCCCCAGAATCTCTTGTTGAATGGTAACTACGGTAGTAAATATAACCTCCTCAGAACCACTTCTTTATTGGTAAATACGGTAGTAAATATAACCTCACCATTATTTCTTCTTTATTGGTTAACCTCCTCAGAATCTCTTTTTTATTGGTAAATACGTAAGTAAATATAACCTCCCCAGAATCTCTTGTTAATTGGCCATTACGGTAGTAAATAAAACCTCCTCAAAATCTCTTCTTTATTGGTAATAACGGTAGTAAATAAAGCCTCCCCAGAATCTCTTGTTTATTGGTAAATACGATAGTAAATAGAGCCTCCCCAGATTCTCTTGTTTATTGGTAACTACGGTAGTAAATAAAGCCTCCCCAGAATCTCTTGTTTATTGGTAACTACGGTAGTAAATAAAGCCTCCCTAGAATCTCTTGTTTATTGGTAATAGCGGTAGTAAATAAAGCCTCCCCAGATTCTCTTGTTTATTGGTAATTACAGAAGTAAATAGAGCCTCCCCAGAATCTCTTGTTTATTGGTAACTACGGTAGTAAATAATGCCTCCCTAGACTCTCTTGTTTATTGGTAATTACGGAAGTAAATAGAGCCTCCCCAGATTCTCTTGTTTATTGGTAATAACGGTTTTAAATAAAATCTCCCCAGAATCTCTTGTTTATTGGTAATTACTTTAGTAAAGATAACCACTCGAGAATCTCCTGTTGATTGGTAACTACGGTAGTAAATATAACCTCCCCAAAATATCTTGTTGATTAATAACGGTAGTAAATATAACCTCCTCAAAATCTCTTCTTTATTGGTAAATACGGTAGTAAATATAACCTCCCCAGAATCTATTGCTTATTGGTAATAACGGTAGTAAATAAAGCCTCCCCAGAATCTTTTGTTTATTGGTAACTACGATAGTAAATAGAGCCTCCCCAGATTCTCTTATTTATTGGTAATTACGGAAGTAAATAGAGCCTCCCCAGATTCTCTTGTTTATTGGTAACTACGTTAGTAAATAAAGCCTCCCTAGAATCTCTTGTTTATTGGTAATAACGGTAGTAAATATAACCTCCTCAAAGTCTCTTCTTTATTGGTAAATACGGCAGTAAATAAAGCCTCCCCAGAATCTGTTGTTTATTGGTAACTACGGTAGTAAAAAAAGCCTCCCAAGAATCTCTTGTTTATTGGTACCTACGGTAGTAAATAAAGCCTCCCTAGAATCTCTTGTTTATTGGGAATAACGGTAGTAAATAAAGCCTCCCCAAAATATCTTGTTGATTAATAACGGTAGTAAATATAACCTCCTCAAAATCTCTTCTTTATTGGTAAATACGGTAGTAAATATAGCCTCCCCAGAATCTCTTGTTTATTGGTAACTACGGTAGTAAATAAAGCCTCCCCAAAATATCTTGTTGATTAATAACGGTAGTAAATATAACCTCCTCAAAATCTCTTCTTTATTGGTAAATACGGTAGTAAATAAAGCCTCCCCAGAATCTCTTGTTTATTGGTAATTACGGTTTTTGATATAGCCTTCCCCTGTACAGGGATGTTCAACACTATATATTCAAAATGAGGATAAGAAATGATCCGATATCCTTGTATTAAACTAAGAAATAAAGATAGCAAAAACTGAGTAAGTGGTGTTTATCTGTTATCAACTAACTTGAATGCACCTGTCCCCACGGTAATCTAGTACAGGGGGACACCGGACGTACGTGTTCGTACACCACACTTGTTGAATTGTACATCATTGTTTCGGCTGTAATTGTTTACTACAGTTTATTGAGTCCAAAAGTTTTTAATTTGAGATGTAGCCACATTTTACTGTGATAAATTTAGGACACGTAGTCGGTGGCATGTGTTACATTACTGTTTTCAGTAAATGTATCTTCTATCAATGTGTCAGGAAGCCCAATTTTTGTTTGTGTATAAAATAATTCAATCTCTATGAATGCGAAAGATAATATATTTTCTATTAATCTATCCAATAATCTATTTTTTGTAAGTGTGTCAGATAATCTATTTTCTGTTAGTGTGTCAATAGCCCATATTATAATGTTGTGTCAGATAATCTATCATCTATTAATGTATCAGATAGTATATTTTCTGTAAGTGTGTCAGATATTCTATTTTCTGTAGGTGTGTTAGATAATCTATTTTCTGTTAGTGTGTCAGATAATCTATTTTCTGTTAGTGTGTCAGATAATCTATTTATTGTGAGTGCGGCATATAATCTCATTTCTGTTAGTGGGTCAGATAATCTATTTTCTTTTAGTGTGTCAAAACATCTATTTTCTGTTAGTGTGTCAGATAATCATTTTCTGTAAGTGTGACAGATAATCTATTTTCTGTTAGTGTGTCAGATAATCTATTTTCTGTTAGTGTGTCATAGAAAGTGGTCTGTTATTAACTCCATCAAAAATTAACATTTCAGCAATAAAAATCATGATAGGGAGTTTTGAATCATAATGCCTCATTGAAGAATATATCTGAAAATGAAAAACAAATTTAATGAAACTACCTTCAGTGCACCTGTCCCCACGGTACCCTTCCGTACACCCAAGCATACAAGAACCATTGTTCGGCAGGCACTGACCGTCAATACAGTGACCACAGGGACTTGAGCAGTTTTTGCCGTAATATCCAGCAAAACATTCTGAAAGTAAAAATACACGGTTTAGTACAGGAGGCAGGTCTGTTTGTACACCGGACGTATGTGTTCGTACACCACACTTGTTGAATTGTACATCATTGTTTCGGCTGTCATTGTTTACTACAGTTTATTGAGTCCAAAAGTTTTTAATTTGAGATGTAGCCACATTTTACTGTGATAAGTTTAGGACACGTAGTCGGTGGCATGTGTTACATTACTATTTTCAGTAAATGTATCTTCTATCAATGTGTCAAGAAGCCCAACGTTTGTTTGTGTATAAAATAATTTACTCTCTATGAATGCTACAGATAGTATATTTTCTGTAAGTGTGTCAGATAATCTATTTTCTGTTAGTGTGTCAGGTAATCTATTTTCTGTAAGTGTGTCAGATAATCTATTTTCTGTAAGTGTGTCAGATAATCTATTTTCAGTTAGTGTGCTAGATAATCTATTTTATGTTAGTGTGTCAGAACATCTATTTTATGTTAGTGTGTCATAGAAAGTGGTCTGTTATCAACTCCAGTCAAAATTAACATTTCAGCAATGAAAATCAGGTTAGGGGGTTTATAATCATAATGCCTCATTGAAGAATATATCTGAAAATGAAAAACAAATGTAATGAAACTACCTTCAGTGCACCTGTCCCCATGGTACCCTTCCGTACACCCAAACATACAAGAACCATTGTTCGGCATGCACTGACCGTCAATACAGTGACCACAGGGACTTAAGCAGTTTTTGCCGTAATATCCAGCAAAACATTCTGAAAGTAAAAAGATCCGGTTTAGTACAGGAGGCAGGTCTGTTTGTACACCGGACGTATGTGTTCGTACACCACACCTGTTGAATTTAATTTGAGATGTAGCCACATTTTACTGTGATAAGTTTAGGACACGTAGTCGGTGGCATGTTTTACATTACTATTTTCAGTAAATTTATCTTCTATCAATGTGTCAGGAAGCCCAATGTTTGTTTGTGTATAAAATAATTTAATCTCTATGACTGCGACCGATAGTATATTTTCTATTAATGTATCCGATAATCTATTTTTTGTAAGTGTGTCAGATAATCTATTTTTTGTTAGTGTGGCAGATAATCTATTTTCTATAAGTGTGTCAGATAATCTATTTTCTGCTAGTGTGTCAGATAATCTATTTTCTGTTACTGTGTCAGATAATATATTTATTGTTAGCGTGGCAGATAATCTCCTTTCTGATAGTGTGTCAGATAATCTATTTTCTGTTACTGTGTCAGATAATATATCTTCTGTTAGTGTGTCAGATAATCTCCTTTTTGTTAATGTGTCAGATAATCTATTTTCTGTAAGTGTGTCAGATAATCTATTTTCTGTTAGTGTGTCAGAAAATCTATTTTTTGTTAGTGTGTCAAATAATCTATTTTCTGTAAGTGTGTCAGATAATCTATTTTCCGTTAAGTGTCAGATAATCTATTTTCTGTAAGTGTGTCAGATAATCTATTTTATGTTAGTGTGTCAGAAAATCTATTTTCTGTTAATATGTCAGATAATCTATTTTCTGTAAGTGTGTCAGATAAGCTTTTTTTCTGTTAGTGTGTCAGATGATCTATTTTCCGTTAAGTGTCAGATATTCTATTTTCTGTTAGTGTGTCAGATTATCTTTTTTCTGTTAGTGTGTCAGATAATCTATTTTCTGTAAGTGTGTCAGATAATCTATTTTCTGTTAGTAGTGTCATATAATCTTTTTTCTGTTAGTGTGTCAGATAATCTCCTTTCTGTTAGTGTGTCAGATAATCTATTTTCTGTCAGTGTGTGTCAGATAATCTATTTTCTGTTAGTGTGTCAGAAAATCTATTTTTTGTTAGTGTGTAAAATAATCTATTTTCCGTTAGGTGTCAGATAATCTATTTTCTGTAAGTGTGTCAGATAACCTATTTTCTGTTAGTGTGTCAGATAATTTCTTTTCTGTTAGTGTGTCAGATAATCTCCTTTCTGTTAGTGTGTCAGATAATCTATTTTCTGTTAGCGTGTCAGATAATCTATTTTCTGTTAGTGTGTCAGATATTCTTTTTTCTGTTAGTGTGTCAGATAATCTATTTTCAGTTAGTGTGTCTGATAATTTCTTTTCTGTTAGTGTGTCAGATAATTTCTTTTCTGTAAGTGTGTCAGATAATCTATTTTCTGTAAGTGTGTCAGATAATCTCTCTTCTGTTAGTGTGTCAGATAATCTATTTTCTGTTAGTGTGTCAGATAATATATTTTCTGTTAGTGTGTTGGATAATCTATTTTCTGTTAGTGTGAAAGATAATCTCCTTTCTTTAGTGTGTCAGATAATCTATTTTCTGTTAGTGTGTCAGATAATCTATTTTCTGCTACAGTGTCAGATAATATATTTTCTGTTAGTGTGTCAGATAATCTATTTTCTGTTAGTGTGTAAGATAATCAGTTTCAGTTAGTGTGTCAGATATTCTATTTTCTGTTATTGTGTCAGATAATCTATTTTATGTTAGTGTGTCAGATAATCTATTTTTTGTTAGTGTGGCAGATAATCTATTTTCTGTAAGTGTGTCAGATAATCTATTTTCTGCTAGTGTGTCAGATAATCTATTTTCTGTTACTGTGTCAGATAATATATTTATTGTTAGTGTGGCAGATAATCTCCTTTCTGTTAGTGTGTCAGATAATCTATTTTCTGTTGCTGTGTCAGATAATATATCTTCTGTTAGTGTGTCAGATAATCTCCTTTTTGTTAATGTGTCAGATAATCTATTTTCTGTAAGTGTGTCAGAAAATCTATTTTTTGTTAGTGTGTCAAATAATCTATTTTCTGTTAGTGTGTCAGATAATCTATTTTCCGTTAAGTGTCAGATAATCTATTTTCTGTAAGTGTGTCAGAAAATCTATTTTTTGTTAGTGTGTCAAATAATCTATTTTCTGTTAGTGTGTTGTTGTTGTTGGTATGGTTAAGTGTGTCAGATAATCATTTTCAGTTAGTGTGTCAGATATTCTATTTTCTGTTATTGTGTCAGATAATCTATTTTCTGTTGGTGTGTCAGATAATCTATTTTCTGTTAGTGTGTCATAGAAAGTGGTCTGTTATCAACTCCATCAAAAATTAACATTTCAGCAATAAAAATCATGATAGGGAGTTTTGAATCATAATGCCTCATTGAAGAATATATCTGAAAATGAAAAACAAATTTAATGAAACTACCTTCAGTGCACCTGTCCCAACGGTACCCTTCCGTACACCCAAGCATACAAGAACCATTGTTCGGCATGCACTGACCGTCAATACAGTGACCACAGGGACTTGAGCAGTTTTTGCCGTAATATCCAGCAAAACAACCTGAAAGTAAAAATACACGGTTTAGCACAGGGGCAGGTCTATTTGTACACCGGACGTATGTGTTCGTACACCACACTTGTTAAATTAGACATCATTAGTTTGGCTGTAATTGTTTACTACAGTTTATTGAGCCTCAAGCAAATATAGCACGACTCGGACCAATACAGCAGGCTTTCGACCAATATAGCTGGTCTCGGACCAATACAGCAGGCCTCGGACCAATACAGCAGGCCTCGGACCAATATAGCAGGCCTCGGACCAATACAGCAGGTCTCGGACCAATATAGCAGGCCTCAGGCCAATATAACAGGTCTCGGACCAATATAACAGGTCTCGGACCAATAAAGCAGGTATCGGACCAATAAAGCAGGTTTCTGACCCATAAAGCAGGCCTCGGACCAATATAACAGGTCTCGGACCAATATAGCAGACCTAGGATCAATATAACAGGCCTCGGACCAAAATAGACAAAGTCAGTTCATACAGATCCTTTAAAATGATATAGGTCAATAGACCAAGTCAGTATAAAACCGTTGAAATAATATAGGTCAGTAGACATAGACAGTTCATATAAATTCACGAAATTATAAAGGTCAATAGACTTAGCCAGTAAATTTAATTGCATAGAAATGTTGACGGTCACTTTACCCAGTCAGTGGACTTACCTATTACTTTTACTTCACATATTTCCAGTCTGGCATCTTTAGAAGGTTGCCTCGTGTTGTATATTATCACATATCGTCCTATTTGGTGGCCAGTTTTGCATGTCCTGTTTTGAAACACGGCTGGTAGGCCATTGCCCGGGTGACTGTAGCAGACATCTGAATTCACTGGAGGTATCTGTGTCGTATTGCTGACAGCCATGGCAAAACCTTTCAGATGCTCTTTGTCTAAACACACAGAAAGTAACAGATTATCATTACGTTACACAAGTACTACCTGCATAATCTGAACTATATAACCATTTTTGTTGTTTTTGAATGAGTTAAAATTGCATTGATCCGGTGAATATAAAAGTTACAAATTCAACATATCATGTTATACAACTTTTTACATTTATATAGAAAACCTGGTAAACGAAACGCTTACTTTGAGTTTCGCATTTGTAACAAAAGGATATATCAATCACACTGAAGGTGCGTAACAAAAGCAGTGGATTTACAACGGACGTTAATGACAGGAGAGACATAAACCATTATGTTGCTTTTTCACTGCACAGAAATGTAGAAAAAACTATTCATCATATCAATCTTAAAAAAGAAGCCCAGGGGGCCCGTATCGCTCACCAGGATATCTGAGTAATCATGGCAAAATATTCTCCGTAGAAGATCCCAGGGGTAGGGCCAAACCCCAAGGCCAATCCTTGTAGCATATCTGTATGAGATTTTTCATGCCCAGCAATTGTATGCATGGTTATGGGGTGGGGATCTTACCCGTTTCAAAGTTATAACCCAGGGGTTAAGTCTGCAAGGGTTGGGCAAACATCAGGGTCAATTGTAATATCATGACTGCATTCGTTTCTTTATGCCCGGTAATTGTATTTATAGTTTTGGGGTTGGGATCTCAGCCGTTTCGATGTTATGACCAATGAGTTAAGTCTCCAAATGTGGGGCAGACCCCTGGGCCATAATGGAAACATATGTGCATTCATCTCTTTATACTCAGCAATTGTATATCTTATTATAGGGTGGGGATCTTAACTTCTTCCAAGTTGTGACTCAGAAACTAGATCCCTAGAGGTGTGGCAAGATCCAAGGGTCAATGCTAATTTCATGATTGTATTCGTCTCTATATGCCCAGCGATTGTGTATTTAGTTTTTGGGTGGGGATCTCAAACATTTCAAAGTTATGACGCAGGGACTAGGTCTCCAAAGGTGAAACCAGACCCCAGAGCCATCCTGGAAGCATATGTGCATTAATCTCTTTATACTTACCAATTGTATATATGGTTAAAGGGTGGGGATCTCAACTATTTCCAAGTCATAATCTATAAACTAAAGGGTAAGCCTGTCCATTTGTACAATTGGTAGTACCCACCACCTAGGGATGCTTCCAACAAATTATGGTTGATATCCACTGCTTTCTTTCAGAGAAGAGGTCGCTTAGAGCAAAATAGCTAAATTACCGTTGTTGGCCCTGCCCCTCAGCCCCCTAGGTTGTCAATCCAACTATTTGTACAATTTTGAATCCCTATCACCTAGGGGTGCTTCCATACAAATATGGGTGATATCCATCGCTTAGGTCCATTGAAGAAGTCGCTTAAGGCAATATAGCCAAACAACCCTTTTTGGCCCTACCCCTTTGCCCCCTGGGGGTCAGCCTCTCCATTTGTACAATTTTTAATCCCCACCTGTCATTAATGCTTCCAAACAAATATGATTGATATCCAGTGCATAATTCTAGAGAAGAAGTCGTTTATAGCAATATAAGCTGCTGAATCCAGTTGTCGTGTTCCAATTCTGTCTCGGCAGGTCCCGTAAACAAGAGACCGTAATTAGATGATAATTAGACAAAACTATGCTTGTTTGTTTTTTAAACGTACGTATATTTTTGCGTCTAGTATTAACACTTCATGAACTAAAAAAAGCACACTCAAGTCAAGGCGCAATCATTTCATTTAACAAGAGGCCCAAGCCCAAGACCTGAGTTATATCTTAGATTGCTTAATTTTATTGTTGAGATCTGAAGTGGAAATCAGCATATAAACAAACTGAAATACATTACTTGTAGTGTCACCATAGGTAAAGAACTTAAAAATCTCTATTTCCATTTAGCCAATTTTCCTCTTTGGCCAATTTCTTTCTGAGAAGAGACAAAAAATAACCTAAAGTGTTATTTCCTTAGAAAAAAATATAGTGAAGTTTACACCCTTCCGACGGGAGAGCAGATGACTCAGGGGTAATAAAGTTTACAATTTAGTTAAAGCATCTAAGGACCATCCATACAGGGTATTTGATTGAAGTACATCTGAGTCTGAGGAAGAAGATTTTTTTTAACTTTTTACTATTTTCCCCAATTGGGCCCACTCCTCCATTCCCTGGGGCAAGGACGAATATTATTTTCTCATATCATCTAATTGCCATTTAATCACAATTATTCCAACTTAGTTTGAGTAACTTCCTCCTTAAAACTGACACAATATACCCAAAAGTGCTATTTCTCTATATAAACTAAAGTAAACTTTACCCCATTTTTACACTTTGATACCCTCCTCCAAGGATGATTCAGACCAAGTTTTAAACATTTTCTACTAAAAATGGATAAAATATACCCAAAAGTATTATTTCCCTATATAAACTATAGCAAAAATTTACCCCCTCCCCGAGGGAGAATGGATGGCCCGGAGGTACTGAAATGTACAAGTTAAATAAAGCCCCTGGTGATTTTCTATCAATCGGAGAAATTGACTGGAGAGGAAGATGTTTGAAATATTGGTTAATTTTCCCTTTGGGCCCCGCCCTGGTCCCTGGGGTTGGGGCAGGCATCACAATTTTGTACCCGCTTCTACCATGGAAGACTTTGAAACACAATGCGTCCACTGGTTCTTTAGAAATTAAAAATGTAAAAGGTTTACGGACGATGCACCACGACATACGATGACAGTCGAAAGGTGATCGGAATAGATCACTCGGCTCAGGTGATCTTATAAGTTGATATTAGTGAATTAATATAAATAACACATAGAACTGAAAAAAACAACAACAGCAGATTTGTTTATTATCCCCTCGCAACGAAAGTTCGAGGGGACATAGGATTCCGCTCGTACGTACGTATGTAGGAATGTGCGTTTGTACAAATTTACGTATGATACACTCTTTGTCAGCGCTCTACCGACTTCATTCCTCAACGGAATTCGAGGAAGCTTCATACAAGTGTTTGGTATGGCAACTTTGTCATTACTTTAGCGACTTCATTACTGAACGGAATTTCATGAAACTTCATGCAAGTCTTTGGTACGGCAATGCCTTGGGCATGTTTGCGTTTCCGGTTTCTTTGTTCAAGGTCAAGGTCATTGCTACTATTTTTAGAAAAAAACACTGTCATCGCTCTACCGACTTCATTCCACAACTATTTCTACGTTGAAGGTAAAAGACACTGTTACTATTAAAACAAACACTTTGCTCTAGCGACTTCATTTCCTGTTACATATGCGTGAATGAGAGGGGATTTGTATCACCTGTGATGCCTTTTTTGTAACAAATCTTAAAACGGCTGTGTAAGAAGTATTACTACATCATAAGATGGCCAATAGGTGGTCATGATAATATGTCAGATTGAGAAACACCAATCAAACACGAAAAGTAAGACAATATATAAAAGGACCTGTTACAGGAACAAAAGAATTTTGCCCACAAAGCAATTTAACCATTACTGGTTTATATTTGTAGCTCCCTAAGACACGACCCATGAGATATTTTTAAAAAATTAAAAAGGTCCCCAGGGCCTGTGCTATGAACTATTTAGTGCCGCCTTCCAAAGGTGTACGACAGGGTTCACTTTTTTGTCCAAAAAACTATCAAAACAATGTTTTACGCTATCAAATAATATTATATTATTTAAAGTAGGATCTGCTGCAAATTATGAACT